ATCCCAGTTTTTATTATGAAAAATTTTAAACACATTTTTAAAAAAGGGAAGAAGAATAAACTGCCATGTATATTCATTACCCAGCTCAATAATTATCAAGTCATGGCCATTTGGGTTTTAATTATATTTCCTCCACTCCTCACTGCACTTGATTATTTAAAGTAGATTCCAGTTATAGTATTTCATCTGTACATATTTCAGTATGTATCTAAAGCAAGGACTTTAAAAAAAATTATAACTACAGTTCCATTGTCACACCTTAAAAATTAGCAGTTTCTGCATGATAACATCAAATATCCAGTCAGTGTTCAAATGTTCCTGATTCTTTCATAACTTTTTTACAGTAGATTTGTTTAAATCAAAATATGGTCTCTGTATTGTAATACACTGATATATCTCTTAATTTTTTTTTTTTTTTTTTTTTTTTTTGTCCGATAAGGGGATCACAACCCTTCGCACTGTGTGGTCAACACCACACTGAGCCAGTGAGCGCACCGGCCATCCCTATATGGGATCTGAACCCATGACCTTGGTGTTATCAGCACCACACTCTACTGAGTGAGCCACAGGCCGGCCCTCTTAAATATTTAAAAAATCTATTGTCACCTCTTTTTTCTCCCTGATAATATGTATATTGAAGAAAATGGATTTCTCCTAAGAAATTTTCCACATTCTGGATTTCACTGATTGCATCCTCATGATGTCATCTGATCATGTTCCTCTGTGCCCTGTATTTCCTATAGTCTGGTAGTTAGATCTACAGGCTTGAATGGATCAGATTCACATTTTCAGCAAGAATTCTTCATAGGTGGTGATGCACACTTCCACATTGAGGCACGTATTTTTCTCTGGTTGGTCTCTCTTTTTGTGATATTAGCTGCCATTGATATTGTCTAGATCCATTATTGCATTAGGAGTTGCAAACTGGAGATATTCTAATTCTGTAATCCTTCATTTAGCTAGATTCATTTATAAGAAAACTTCTTTCATTAACTCCTTGGTTACTCAGAGATAGTTCATGCAGGAAAGATAGGGCACATGTTTGATTCTTTATCTTTCTTACCAGTTTTCAAAATGAGGTGATACCGTAGTAGTCTCAAAAGATGACCAGTGAGAGTTAGTTTTTTTTTTAAGTGAGTATTATTATTATTATTATTATTATTATTATTATTATCATTATTATTATTATTATTTTTGGCAACTGGCTGGTGTGGACATTAACTCTTATTTGATGTGTTTCAATTTATATAGTTGTTTTTTGATCCCATTTTTGGCTACTAGTAGTCTCTTCAAATTGACTTCTGAATCCTTATGTCGCTAATCCAAAATACCAAGATGTGCCAGGCACAAAGTACACGTTTTCTGTCCCAGACCTGGAATCAACCATTTCTCCAATAAACTTTGATTCCTTTTAATGGGAAATGGTATTTGGAGACCACAAATCTGGGTACTAGAGGTGCTCATTGCTTTTGCTTTGGGAACTTTTCAGTGGACAGAGCTAGTATGATTTTTTTTTTTAAGAGAATATAGAACATAAGTTCATACTGATATTTCCAATTTAAAATTTAAGAATATTGGAATTTTACTTGGCTTCTTTGATTTTTATATTTCTCTTTACTCTTACTCTGAAAAAAATGTTGGTTTTTAATGACAGTTATAAGGTTTCTCAGCTTTGGCACCATTGACATTTTGGGAAAAATAATTCTTGTGGGATGTTCAACAGATCCCTGACCCATCCTACTAGATGCCAGTATCACCCCTTTCCCCGACTTGTGACAACCAAAAATGCCTCCAGGTATTGCTATATGTCCTCTGAAGGACAGTCGCCTCCTGGTTGAGACCCTCTGTTTTATCCTTATACCATAGTTTCATAAAAACAATACTAATATATTATTACTACAGGTTGAGCATCCCTAATCTGAAAATTCAAAATCTGAAATTTTTTGAGTGCCAATAGGATGCTCAGAAAGTTTTGGATTTTGGAGCATTTCAGAATTCAGTTTTTAGATTAGGGATGCTCAACTAGTGTGTATTCTGCAAATATTATAAAATCTGAAAAAATCCAAAATTCAGAACACTGCTGAACCTAAGCATTTCGGATAAGGGATACTCAACCTGTAGTAATATGATTACCAGAAACTTTATCCCCTTAGAGTTAATTCCCCTAGAATATACTCGTACAGCCCAATTACTGTGTTTTAAAGTTACTTGTAATAATTCCTCTGTGTGGTTTTGCCACCGACTTGATGGTCAATTCAGTTCCATGTGTTTCATTTTTATTTTCAATTTTTAGGGATTTTGTTTTATTTTATAAGTGTATAAAATATTTACATGGTTCCAAAGTTGATCTACTGGTAGAGAAAAAAAATACTCAAATGACACTTATTAAAGCACAGTAAGGAAGACTTTATTCAAGGTTTGGGGGGGCTATCTCAATAGGTGTACATGGCTGGCCAGTCGGCGCAGTTGATCAGAGCATGGTGTTATAACACTACAGTCAAAGGGTTCGGATCTCAACGTTGGCCAGCCACCAAAAAACAAATTAAAAAAAAAAAAATCAATAGGTATAGAGACCACTGCAATAGAATTTTGCAGTGAAGGAGAGAAATTGGGCTCAACTTCGAATACAACATGAGCCAATGGGAATTTAGCTAGTGAGTCAGTTGGGGGTCAGTGGATGAAAAAATTACTAAGAGGAAATATCAGGGTTAAGGGGGATTCTGGCTAAACTGGCCTAACAAGATTCTTATTGGAGTCAGGCCAGAGTGATCATATGTCACCTGGAAATTGCAGAGGACAAGAAATCCAATCAGATATGGAGAGTGATTAGATATGGGGGATAGGTGAGGGTGGTATTCTGTCTAAACTGATTTCTTAACAGGATTCTTGCTAAAATTGGGCTCTACAAGTGATACTGGAGGAGAGGGTCTCGGGAGGCCTGATAGCCAGCCTCAACCCACCACATCCTCTACCAGGTTCTTCCACCACAGGAAAGAATTTAAGAGCAGAGTCACAGTAGAAAGTGAAAGCAGGTTTAATGTAAAGAATAAGAAATACAGACTTCACAGAGAAAGTACAGGCTAGCTTCAGAGAGTGAGCAGCAGTCACACTAAGTTTAATACAAAAGTAAGAAATACATGCTTTGCAGACAAAGTGGAGGCTGGTTCCAGAGTTAGCAACAGCCTGCTAAAATTTAACACAAAAAGTTAAGAAATACACACCTCATAGGCAAAGTACGGGCTGGCTCCAGGAAAGTGAGCAACAGCCCCGCCTTCCTGACTGAATTCAACTTTTATAGTTGGCTATCTGTACATATTCATGCTATCTAATGAATATTCAACTAAGCGGGTGGTTCCCACTTACACAACCTAGTCTCACACATGTTCATTTGGTCTCTTTGGAGCATGCTTATTCCATCATATGCACCAAATACACCTAGAATATTCTAGGTGCCCTCTAGCACCTTCAGTGGAAGGTCATTTAAGGGATAAACTCCTTTTTCACTGAGCATGCTCAGCCACTGATATTACATATTACCTAAGTCCCTCCCTCCCCACCAATCTCCGCCTGCTGGTGCCAAAAATAGGTGCTACAGGCACCATAGCTTAGGACTCAGAGGCAAGGCTTGAGTTCTAAGGGAGTGTTTTGAAACCCAGGGGAATGGCCCAAAACCCAATCCTACGAGGACTGAGCACCTCCTGTCTCACAAGAATGGTGTCATAAGCCCAAGGTTGGGCCTAGTTGAAAAGTTGGTTCAGAGGAAATTGACTAAAGTTAGATGAAGGGGAGAGTATTTGTCATATGCACGTGTAATTTTGCTGGGTATTGCCAAATTCCCCTTCCTAGGAGTTGTGCCATTTGGATTCCCACCAATAATGTATGAGACTGTTTCCCCATAGCCTCAGCAACAAAGTGTGTTGCAGGATTTGTAGAATTTTGCCAATCTGGTTAGTGTGAAATGGTAGTAGTTCCTTTTTTTTTTTTTTTGCATAGAACATGATTCTGTTTTCAGAGTTTTTCTTCCTACTCTTCCCCCCAATTGTTAGCAGATTGATGTGTTATTCAGGGGAGGGGGGTGGTAGTAGTTTCAGTCGCATGTCTCTCATGAGTGAAACTGGACATCTTTTCTCATATTTAAGGGTCATTTGATTTTCTTTCTCTGAGAAGTCTCTGTTCATATTTGTTGAATATTGATTGTGGCCTTTTTCTTCTCTGTATTTAGTTTTTTATATATTAACCTTTATTTGTAATGTCAGTTCAAATACTTTTATTAGTTTGTCATTTGTCTTTTTACATTGTATAAGTTTTTAAATTTTTATTTTTTAAATTCTTTTTTTTTTTTTTAAAGATGACTGGTAAGGGGATCTTAACCCTTGACTTGGTGTTGTCAGCACCATGCTCACCCAGTGAACTAACCGGCCATCCCTATATGGGATCCAAACCTGTGGCCTTGGTGTTATCAGCACCACACTCTCCCGAGTCAGCCACGGGCCGGCCCTTATTTTTTAAATTCTTATCCATTTTAATATAAGACAGACTTTAAATATGTGCTCCTGGAATTTTTCCTTCTTTTAAATTTTTTGGGGGCTGGACAGTTACAGGGATCTGAACCCTTGACCTTGCTGTTATCAGCACCGCACTCTAACAGATTGAGCTAACTGGCCAGCCCACTTACTGGAGATTGAATGAAATATTTCATTCAATTTTGTTTGCTTTTAAATAAAAGGGCACACGATAATTTTTCATCTTAAGTTTTAAGAAATATTTCTTTTGTCAGGAGATTATCAGACTAAAAACTTATTTTTTATTATTGCTTTATTTTGTAGATGAACGTGACAGCTTTGAATTTGGTCCTTTGTTCCTAGGACCCCAGCAGTGCTACCTTAGAGCTACATAATAACTTATATGTTAAAGAATATTGATATATACATAGCAATTAGTTTATTTAAAATTCTAAGTTGAGAAGTTTAGCTTTTGTTTCTTTTTACTTTTACAGTAAGGCAAAAGAGAATGAAAGAAGTAGATAACCTTGAAAGTATAAAAGAAGAATGGTAAGTTAATTCAAACTGTAAGTAAGTTTCTTTGTTAATGTCTTTTTAGTATCTTTATTTTTATTGCATTTCGCCGGCAGAGATAGTAAATTTTATTTATGTATGACTACCTCAGTAAACAGCTAGAAATAATTTTTATCATAGCTGTATTGAACAGTTTTTAGTGAAGTTACTAAATCTTTTTTGTTGTAAATTAAAAAGTGTTAAATTTCTCTCTGTTCACACATTACTTATTAAAGTGAGAAATTTAAGTAACTCTTTACCTTTTTAGTCTTAGTCTCATGTTGAACTCTCTTGGAGTCATAGTGGAAATATAATGGCTTTGAAGTCAGATAAACCTAGGTTTGAATCCCATCTCTGCCTTATACTGTATTACCTCTCTAGCCTTTGGCAACTTAGGTAGATTCTTTGAGCTCAATATCTCACGTATAACATAGGGATACAGGATCACGCATTGTATAGCCACAGGGATACATTCTGAGAAATGCATCATCATTGGACGATTTTGTCATTGTAAGAACATTATAGAGTGTACTTATACAAACCTAGATGGTACAATCTACTACACGCCTAGGCTCTATGGTATAGCCATTATAATCTTATGGGACCATCATGGTATGTGCAGTCTGTTGTTGTTATGTGTTGCGTGACTGTAAATACCTATCTACTTGAAAGGTTTTTGTGAGAATTACATAGCAGATATAAAGCACTCAACATTGTAGAAGCATATATTGGGCACTCAGTAAATGACAGATGCAAAGTTTATGATTCTTATCAATATAGGATATTTTATTCTCACTGATCTGAGATGTGAAATATTTATTTTTGTATTGTACTCCTTGTTTTAAATACTTGAGAAGATAAATTTCTTTCATTCACAGTCCATTTAAGGAAACAGAGAAGTATATACTTCACACCTATAAATGCTTTGTAAGCACTTCTATATCAAACAAATATTATTTGTTGTTTTTGCACTTGGGAATTTATTGTTTTATATAAATATCTGATATTAATTTTATAATAATTAGATATTACTTATATAATTATATAATCAAGACAGCTCCTAGGTTTGATGATTTGCTAGGAGTACTTAAAGGATTTAGCATATAGTCATACTCATGGGTATAATTTATTACAGTGAAGGGTTACGAAATAAAATCAGCAAAGGGGAAAAGTGCATGGGACATAGCCTAAGGAAAACTAGGCACAAGATTCCAAGAGACCTCACTCAGTGGAGTCACCCAGAATGTACTTAATTCCCCCAGTAACAAGTGTGAAAACACATGTGAACTGTTATCTAATAGGGAAGCTCACTGATGGTGAACCTAGGGTTTTTTGTTTTTTTTAATTTGTTTGTTTGGGGATTTTTGGGGGCTGACCTGTATAGGGATCTGAACCTTTGACCTTGGTGTTACCAGCACCACACTCTAAAGAGTTATCCATCCATCCATATTGTAAAAATGTTATGTTAAAAACAGTGGTCCAGTAAAAAGTGAAAAGTCTGATTTTGTAAGTATATAAGTGGTTCAAAGAATTCAAATGGTGAAGTTGTGTTTACCATACGTGCTACCAAAGCATACACAGACATAAATCCTTCACCTATTTGGATAGCAGCTAACTGATTACCTTATTTATGCAGAACAGAGTAGAGAATAAGTGAGCAAAAGAGGCTGTCCTACAACCAGAATAGTTGTTTTGAAGTCCCTTATCTGAAGCAAAGAAAATAGTCAATGGAATGAAAAGGTAACCTGTGGAAAAGGGAAAAAATATTTGCAAATCACGTATATGATAAGAGTTAATTTCCAAAATACATAAGGTACTCCTGCAACTCAGTAGCAGAAGAAAAAAACCAAAAACCTAATAACCCAATTGAAAAATGGGCTAAAGTCTTGGATAGACATTTCTCCAAAGAAGACATAAAAATGGCCAACTGGTATATGAAAAGATACTCAGTGCCACTAATTATCAGGCAAATGCAAATCAAAACTACAGTGATCACCATACACCTGTCAGGATGCCTATTATCAAAAAAACAAGAGTGAGTGTTGGTGAGGATATGGGGAAAAGGGAACCCTTGTACACTGTTGGTGGGAATGCAAAATGGTGCAGCCACTATGGAAAACAATATGAAGGTTCCTCAAAAAATTAAAAATGGAATTACCACTGAATAGATCCAACAGTCACATTTCTGGATATGTATCCAAAGGAATTGAAGTAAGGATATCAAAGGGCTATTAGCACTCCCATGTCTACTGCAGCACTAGTCACAGTAGCCAAGATGTGGAAACAACCCAAATGTCTATTGTCAGATGAATGGATAAAGAATTTATGATATATACATACAGAGGAATATTATTCAGCCTTAAAGAACATGGATGAACCTTGAAGATACAATGCTAAGTGAAATAAGCCTGCCACAGGGCCGGCCCAGTGGCGCACTGCTACAGTGCGCCGCTTGGGAGCGCGGCGGCACTCCCGCCGAGGGTTTGGATCCCACATACAGACCGGTTCCCGCTCACTGGCTGAGCGAGGTGCGGGAGCAACACCGAGGGTTGCGATCCCGTTGCCGGTCCCAGTCCGGTACGGGCGCGACACTGAGGGTTGCGATCCGTTGCCGGACACGAAAAAAGACAAAAAAAAAAAGAAATAAGCCTGCCACAGAAGGACAGATACTGAATGATTCCACTAATATGAGGTATCTAAAATAGGCAAATTCATACATTCAAAGAGTGGTGGTTGCCAGGGGCTGGGCGCAATGCAAAATGGGGAGTTGCTAATCAATGGGCATAAAGTAAGTCCCTTACCTGAAGCATATGTACTTACAGGAACCCCTGAGACTTTAAGACTATTTACTTAGCCATAACATCTAAGCCATTACTATTTAACCATTATAATTTAGGTAATCTGGTTTCTAAATTATGTTCGGAAATATTGATATATGTGTCATAAAGTGACAGTGACAAGGAAAAAGATGACAGAATAGAACATGAAAAGGAAATATTAAAGTTGTGTGGATATATTTAGTATTAAAATAAGTCCTCGTAACCTCAGTATGTCCCAGGGATTTGGCTATGTTATAGCTTAATATAGTAAAATATAAAGGGATTACCTGCATTGTCAAGAAATAAAAGTTATATATGGTGTACTTTCCCACTTTTTCCTGTCTGCGTAAGAATTTCTTTCTTAGTAAACCTTATTTTTAAGAGCAGTTTTAGGACTACAGAAAAATTGAGCAGGAAGTACAGAGTTCCCCTATCCCTATCTCCCTTGCCACACATAGAGATAGTCTACCCCATTATTAACATCTTGCATTAGTGTTGGTACATTTGTTACAATTGGGAACCAATATTAATATATTGTTATTAATTGTAGTTTACATTAGTGTTCATTTTTTGTGTCATAAAGTTCTATGGGGTTTGACAAATGGTGTTAATGTAAATAAATGGTGTTGTGTTTTTAATTTCAAATTCCAATTGTTTATTGCTAGTATATAGGAAAGCCCTTGACTTGTATGTTTTTTTATTTTGTTTTGGTTGTTTTATTGTTGTTTTTTTATTAGTGGGTGGCCAGTAACAACCCTTGACTTTCACACATTAACCTTGTATCCTGCAACCTTGCTATAATTGCTTATTGGTCCCAGGAGGTTTTTTTTGTTGTTGATTCATTTGGATTGTCTGCATACACAGTCACATCATCTGTGAAGTTTTATTTTTTCCTTCCCAATCTGTATACTTTTTATTTCCTTTTCTTATCTTACTGTATTAGCTCGGACTTCCAGTACAACATTGTTGAGGAGTGATGAGAGGGGACATCTAGTTTCTCACCAATATGATGTTAGCTGTAGATTTTTTTGTGGACCTTCTTCTTCATCAAGTTGAGGAAGTTCCCCTCTATTCCTAGCTTGAGGAGATTTCATCATGAATGGGTGTTGGGTATTGTCATGTACTTTTTTGCATATGTTGGTATCATATTTTCTTCTTTAGCCTGTTTATGTGATGGATTACATTAATTGACTTTTGATACTGAGTCAGCCTTTTATACCTATAATAAATCCAATTTGGTTGTGGTTTATAATTCTTTTACATGTTGTTGGATCCAATTTGCTAATATTTTGTTGAGGATTTTTGTGTCTATGTTCATAAGAGATATTTTCTGCAGTTTTTCTTTCTTGTAGTGTCTTTGTCTCGTTTTAGTGTTAGGGTAATGCTCTCCTCATGGAATGAGTTGGAAGTGTTTCCTCTGCTTCTGTTTTCTGGAAGAGATTGTAGAGAATTGATATCATTTCTTCCTTAAGTACTTGGTGGAATTTACCAGTAAAGTCATTTAGGCCTGATGCTTCTGTTTTGGAAGGTTGTTTATCATTGACTCGGTTTTCTTAATAGAAGGAGGCCTATTCAGATTATCTCCGTTCCTTCCTGTGTGATTTTTGGTAGATTGTGCCTTTCAAGGAATTGGTTCATCTGAGTTATCAAATTATTGGCATAGAACTGTTTATAATGCAAATTCTACCCCTTTTTCTGTCCCTCTAGAGACTCCTATACATGTGAAAAGTAAAATCTGCTATCAACTATCTATTGAAGCTAGAGCCCCAATTTTCTGAATTGTACTTTATAAATGTCTCTGTTGTAACTATTTCTTATTATATGAGGGTACGTCCAAAATTTCATGGAAAAATTGAGTTAAAAGGTAATACAAGTCCTTCCATGAACTTTTTGAAGACCCCTTGTATAGCTCCACATGTTCAACTCTGAACCTCTTATAAACCTAGGCTATTTCTTACCTGTCTTTATATTTTCCTACCACCTAGCATATAGTAGGTACTCAGCAAATGTTTGAATGATTTGAACTAACATGATGACATTTAATAGAATTTACACATCAAATAGGTAACATAAAGAAATAAAACTTCAGCTACTCTGGATGCCCAGCTTTATTGGCTTGGTACTTGTAATTAGTAATTAAGCACTAACTGCTTTCTGAACAGAAGAAACAATTGAATACTAGAAAGCATAAAGTGGTCATAATGATATTATTATCTAATATTTGAGAGTTTACTGTGTGCCAGTATCTGTACTGGTACTTACTATATTCCACGTACAGGCTTTTGTATATATTTTTTTTTTTTTTTTTTTTTTTTTTTTTTTTTTTTTTTTTTTTTGGTGGTGGCTGGTCAGTTCAAGGATCTGAACCTGTGACTTTGGTGTTATGAAGCTGTGCTGTAACCAGCTAAGCTAACTGGCAGCCCTATATGTATTTTCATTTAATTTTCATAACAACCATGTGAGTGAGATAGGTGGGGGTATCTGCATTTTCCATATGAGGAAACCAAATCATATGGAAGTTAAGTTTCTTGCCCAGGGTTGGTGTGACTTAAGTGAGGATATCTAAACACAAACACCAAAGCCTGGACTTTTAGACTATATTGCTACTCAACTATACTGATTAAAGGGAAGGAAAAATTATTAGTATTATAAGAAATTTTCTTAAGGTGTGACTGTTTTTGTGTAAAAAGTGTCATGTCATTGCTTTGGAAAAGTCATCAGTAATACTTTGTGATAATATGAAGTGTTTTAAGGGTATATATAGAGAAAACTACCTACGGAAGCTTTGCCCTGAGCATCAGCATTTTAATAATGATATAGTGATGTCTATTTTGAGAGATTAAGCATAGTGATTAAGAGCACAGCCTGAGTTCAGTTCACAGCTCTGCCTCCTAATAGCTTTGTGATCTTGGACAAATTACTTAAGCTTTTTCTTTATCTATTAAGTAAGGATAAAAATAACACCTGCCTTTTAGGGTCATTGTGAGAATTGAATGAGTTGAGACATATAGTTCTTTATGGGATATCATGGTTAGGAACATAGACTTGGGAGACTTGAGAGATTAGCAACACAGTTAGTAAGAGTGTCTGTCTTATAATTCCTGGCACAGTTTGACAGTACTTGAAGTATTGATTACTGTTATTATTTATAGAATCTGAGAAATTATATTTCAGTACTTTTACAAGTTTTCTGCATGGTTTCAAAAAGGATCAGCCAGAAACAATCTTTTCTAGCAAACAAAATCTTATGTAATACTTCTTATGTGATGAAATACAAAATAAAAAGCAGTAGAATATTAAAATTCCATAAATAAAGTGTTCAATGGGAAATTTTATTCTGAAGTGTGCAAAGGAGCAAAAACATAATTGTTTCTGATGCATTCTCACTTTGAGTTTCAAGAATGTTTTCTCTTACCAAAAAGTACAGAGTAACCCCTTTTGAACCTTTTTAAAATAACACATTTTTTACTCTAGACCACAGCCAGCCTGGCCAGCTTTTGCCCCCAGGTTGTGTGTAATGGCGGTGTGTACAGACATTTTTAGTTATGACATTGGGAGTGGGATTGGGGAGAGAATGTGCATGCTACTGGCATCTTATGGGCAAAGGCCAAGGATACTGCTAAACGTCCTGCAATGCACAGGACAGCCCACACAACAAAGCATTATCCCTCCCAAAATGTCAATAGAGCTCTGAGGTTGAAAAAAACCTGCTCTGGACTAAAAAGGCGTTAGTAACTTCCCCAAGGCCATGTATCTATTATATGAACATAGAAGAAGGCCTGAACTATAGACATGGAGGTAGCATCTCAGTTCAGCGTGTGTGTGTGTGTGTGTGTGTGTGTGTGTGTGTGTGTGTGTGTGTGTGTGTGGCTGACCACAGAGATCAAATCCTGGACCTTGGTGTTATTAGCACCACGCTGTAACCAACTGAGCTAACCAGCCAGCCTTAGTTCAGCATCTCTTAACTAGAATAACATATAAATTTTAAGAGAACTGGTAGTCAGTAGAGCTTTTTTTGTTTGTTTGTTTTGTTCTATTTAGGGTTTGTGAAACAGGATCTGACAATCAACCTCTTAATGATAATCGACAAACAAATTGTGAATATTTTGTTGATAGCCTTTTTGAGGAAGCTCAGAAGGTTGGTGCAAAATGTGTATCCCCCACTGAACAGAAGAAACAGGTATCCATTACTTTTTTTCTCTTCCAGCGTTTCTCAAAATACAGACTTTTTAGAGAGTCCTGAGGTCAAAACTGTTTTCATAATAATAAGATATTATTTACCTTTTTTACTGTGTTGACTTTGCACTGATGTTGCAAAAGCAACAGTGGATAAAACTGCTGGCACCTTAGCAGAAATCAAGGCAGTGGCAACAAACTGTACTAGTATTGTATTCTTTGCTGGCACTTGCAAGGCGAAAAAAAAAGCTAGTTTCAATTAAGAGTGTCCTTGATGTAGCAATAAAATGTATCAATTTTATTAAATCCCAAACCCTGAATATACATCTATCTTATTGATAGTTTGTGTGACAAAATGTGAAGTACACATAAGGCATTTATGTAATACAGAACTGTCTTAAGGAAAAGTGCAGTTTGAGAGGCAAGCTGAACTATCTGCTATTTCATAGCATGTTGTTTTTGCACAAAAGACTGATTTACACACAGACTGTGGTTATTCAGACTTGGATTATTTGGCAGACATTTTCTCATAATGAATGAAATGAGCCTGCCACTTCAAGGAAAACTTACAGTGTTTGTTGCGAATGATATAATTTTGTTTAAGCACCTTTTTTAGTGAAAATAAGAATTTTGGAAAATTGCCACCATGCACTTGACATCTTCTCAAAACTTAAAAGAGTGCCCCGATGAGATTAGTGTCATTTTAATGAATATAATTTTTCATTGTACAACAAAATATAACAACATTTGGAAGATTCACATAATTCAGAGAACTAGTCTCTCCCAAATGGCCAGACCATGATGTTATAGAATGATGCATGAATAAGAGCCAAAGTGTCACATACACTAAAGGATTTTAATGTAACAAGTATATGGGTAAGTTTGAGATTCCACATTCAAATTCTCAACTAACTTTTGAGATACTACCACTTATTAAATTTTGATGAAGTGTCAAAGAAGAACATACTGGAAAGGCTATTAAAATACTTCTTTTTGTTATTACCTATCTGTATGAAGTTTGATTTTTTAAAAAAATGTATCTGAATCAAAATAACATATCACAGTAGACTGAAAGCAATAGCAATTATGAGAATCCACCTGACTCTGTTTTTTTGTTTGTTTGTTTGCTGTTTTTCGGTGGGGGTTTTTGCTGTCTTTGGGGGAATTTTTTGGTCAGCTGCCCGGTATGCAGATTCCAGCTGATTCTTTGAAATCAAACATTAAAAGGATATATGAAAAACCCCTTTACTCCACTTTACCTTTCAAGTTAATTTAAAATGTTATCAAAGTTTAAGTTATAAAAATTTTAAATCTAATATTTCTGAAAGGCTTATATTAAAAAACAACAGCCCCATTACTCCTTGGCGCTGCTATCTATGTCTGAGAGGCAATCACGTAACTCTTACCATTGTGTTTCTAATAATGTGCTAATAGTTATAGTTCTTGATTTTTCAGATTTTCAAATTATGGATTGGCTTTTTATTTTATTATAGAAAATGAGAATTTAGCTCTCTTTTTTCTACTTTCCCCCTTCCCCAAATTACCTCCTCTCATTTTCTAACATAGGTATGTCACAATTTGGTATTAAATCAATTATTATTCTTTATATCTTTATAACTTCATAAATACTGTACAACATAAGTGAGTCATGTAGTGTGATTTCTTTTTCTTAATGCTTTTTAAATTTTCATTGGAATTGATAAATAATTGCATTTTTCTGCCCACATTGGCTTAATTTTCTTTGTACCAGTCATTAATTTATCCCCAAACTCTGATAGAAGGCTGTATCTCCCCCAGCTTAATTTTCTCTGAGGGACAACTCTGTTGAAACCCTCCTTCTTTTGCCAATGGACTGGTTCCCCTCTAGGGGAGCTATACTGCTCTTGCCTGGAATCTATGACCCTGAGTATTCTCCTCTGTACTGATTATTCAGTTCCATGCCTCTCCTAACCACCACCAACCCCTTTATGTTTTCATTTTTATGAAGCCATTCCTTTTTTTTTTAAAGTTGAAATGTATTGATTAAACATATTTGAGGAGTACAGAGTTATATTTCAATACATGTATACATGAAGCCATTCTCGAGGTAGCTTTATGAAAAAATGTGTGTGAAAAAAGAGTGCATTGGGAATAGATGGTTTAAAACCTTGCAACCTGAACTTTCCTTTATTCTACCTTCACGCTTGATTGATGGAATGCCATTCTGATACCTGAGCTTTGTATGTGGCATGTTTTGCTTCCTGCAAGCCTTTATTTTTTTGGTTTTGTTTTTTTGGCAGCTGGCCAGTATGGGGATCCAAACCCTTGACGTTGCCTGCAAACTTTTAAAATCTTCTCTTTAATCTCTTGTTCTGATGGGCCTTGATGTGGGTCCTCTTTTATTCATTCAACCCAGAAACTTGTACCTTATCATTCTAGGACATCTTTTGTTGCTTTGATATTTTGTTCCTTCTTGTTGCTGTTCTGTCTGGAAATGCTTTTACTTAGATATTGGACCTCTTGGACTGAGTCTCTTAGTTTTCTTATTTTTTCCTCCAATTTTTGAACTCTTTGTTGTTGTATTTTAATTTGGATATTTCCTCAATCTTATATTCAGTCCTTTTACTTAATTTCTGTTGTATTTAAATCTGTTGTATTTAAATTCTGTTTTATTCAGCTTTCAAGAGCTCTTTGTTCCCTGAATATTTTCTCCCCATTACCTTTTCAAGTATCATCCTCTGTTATCTGAGTATATTAATGATTATTTTGGGGATTTTGTTTTTATGCTTCTCTTAAAATATTACCTATTTATAAACCATATTATATATATACATTCTTTTTTATATTTTACATTTGAAGTTTGCTCTTAAGAAGGATTCATACAATATATAGTGATGGAAGAAATTTTCCAAGGACTTAACCTACTATTACATCTTATTAAATTATGTATTTTGTTTCTTATTGCTTTGTAGGTAGATGTAAGTATAAAATTATGGAAAAATGGATTCACGGTTAATGATGATTTCAGAAGTTACTCTGATGGTGCAAGTCAGCAGTTTCTGAACTCCATCAAAAAGGGGTAAGCAATCTTTGTAAATAGGAGGATATTTTAGACATGGTTCATATGGAAATGTGCAAGGAGGGGTTAAAGTATAATGCCCTCCAAATTGAGAAGGTACTTTGAGACTGAAGAAGGAGGCTGGCAATTCCATGCAGAAATATACCAACATATTTTATTAATTGGGGTGACTTCCATACAGGAGAGCTGGGTGCAGTGAAGAATCAGACATTAGCAGGTAAGTTGATAATATTACTCATCAGGTGTCTTTGTTATTCCTAAGTGTGGGGGTTTTGTGAGTTTTAGTGCTTAGACCACTGACACCACCTGTTGTAATAAATCATTTGCTCCCTGAAACCTGTGTTTCTTTTACAGCTTTCCCTAAGGTTAAGATGTAACTAGTGAGGAATGAGGTTAAGCAGAAGTAAACAAGCAGGCAGGGCACAAAATGTAATGGGTTTGTTCACCCTCTTACAGGAAGAATCCTTTTTAGTGTTGTTTAAACACCCCTACATATTCACATATACTTTTTCTTTTGTAAATTTACATTTGCCACTGATATAATTTTGAAGAAAGTTTTGGGGCTGCTCAGTTCACTAAGTCAGTTAGAGCATGGTACTAATAACACCAAGGGCAAGGGTTCTATCCCTGTACCTGCAAGCTGCCAAAATAAATAAATAAATAAGAAATTGAAAATGTAGTAACCTGAAGGGCCGACCCGTGGCTCAGTCAGGAGAGTGTGGTGCTGATAACTCCAAGCCAAGGGTTAAGGTCCCCTTACTGGTCATCTTTTTATAAAAAAGAAAAAAGAAAATTTAGTAACCTGAATTCTGATCAACCAAAGTCTTACTTAAACTAATTCACTTTTCCAAGTATTCCTTAATACCATATCTTCTTTGCTATTTAATATTTATCTTTAAGTATCTTTAGGGTCTTTAAAATTGTAATGTTTATTATATATTTATGATTCTAGGTGTTATATATGCTTGGTTTAGAAAAAATTTTTAAATATTAAGAGCTAGAAAATCACTTATAATGTAACTACCCAGAAGTAACTGCTATTAGCATTTTTGTTGAATTTTATCCTGGCATTTTTTTGTACATAGATTCATACATAATATGCATATATTTATTTTTAAACCAATTCTGAATTTATTATGAAAAATCTGAATATATCTGTATATTGCTTTATCATGATGATGACATAATTTACATATGTACCTAGTTCTTGGCAGTTGAGGTTATTTTTAATTTTACCACTATAAAAATATATTTGATTATCCTTGTACTTAAATTTTTTTTAAATAACAGCTTAACCTACCACAAAATTTATCCCTTTATTTATTTATTTATCTATTTTATTATTATTATTACTGTTTTTAAAGATGGCCAGTAAGGGGATCTTAACCCTTGACTTGGTGTTGTCAGCACCATGCTCTCCTAAGTGAGCTAACCAGACATGCCTATATAGGGATCCGAACCCATGACCTTGGTGTTATCAGCACCACATTCTCCCAAGTGAGCCACGAGCTGGTCCTAAATTTATCCTTTTGAAGTATGAAATTCATTATTTTTTAGTATATTCACAGAGTTGTGCAACCATCAGTACCATCTAATTTCATAACATCCTCATCACCCCAAAATGAAACCCTACACTAGAAGTTACTCTCCATTTTCCCCTTCCTACAGCCCTACAGCCCTATCTAACCACTAATCTACTTTATCTCTCTATGGATTTACCTATTCTGGACGTTGCATATAAATGGAATCATAAAGTGTATGGTCTTTTGTGTCTGACTTCTTTCATTTAGCATAATGTTTTCAAGTTTCATCCGTGCTATAGCTTGTATCAGTCCTTCATTCCTTTTTATTGCCAACTAGTGTTCCTTTGTATGTTATACCACATTTTGTTTATCCATTTACAGTGATTAGACGTTCAGATCATTCCCACATTTGGGGCTATGAACATTGTGTATAAGTTTTGTGCTAACATACATGTTTTCATTTCTCTCAAGTATATATCTAGGAGTGGAATTGTTGTTAATTCTGTATTTAACTTTATAAAGAACTGCAAAATTACACTCCAAGGTGGCATTACTATTTAACATTCCCACCAGCAGTGTATAAGGATTCCAGTTTTCCCATACCCTCACTAACATTCGTTAGTGTCTGTTTTTTTTTAATTAGAGCCATCCTGTAGAGGATGTAAAATGGTATGTCATTGTGGTTTTGACTTGCATTTCCGTAATGACCAGTGATTTTTAGCATCTTTTCATGTGCCTATTGGCCATTTATATATTTTTTCTTGCAGAAATGTCTGTTCAGATCCTTTGTCCATTTTTTTTCTTTGCCTGTTTTTAAAATTGGATTATTTTGGCCGATTAGCTCAGTTGGTTAGAGCACAGTGTTATAACAGCAAGGCCAAGGGGTCTGGATCCCCATTTCGGCCAGCCACCAAAAAAAAAAAAAAGCCCACAACTTGGTTTATTTGCCTTTTTGTTGAGTTGTAAGAGTTCTTTATATATTCTGAATACTAGTCCCTTATCAAATAAATGATTTGCCGATATTTTCTCCCTTCTTTGAGTTGCTTTTCAACCCAAATGGAAAATAATAAAGTAATTATATAGAGTTACTATAACTATAGAGAAAATATAGGAGAGGTTATACCAGAGTTTGTACAGTGAGAAAGAGATTACAGAGACTGTCACTTTTTAATTTAACATGTGTTTACATGTTTAAAGTATTATTTTAGAAAAAGCATCTACTATTTTATTCAATAAAAAAATTTTGATTTTTCTTTTTGATAGCTGGTTGGTATGGGGATCCAAACCCTTGACCATGGTGTTATTACACCATGCTCTAACCAACTGAGCTATAAATTGAAGGTATGACATATGCAGAAAAGTACACAAGTCATAAGTATATATTAAATGAATTTTTATTATTTCTGTTATTAGAAAAACATCATTTATTTTAGAAGAATTTGTGAAAATTTGTCCTTTGTCAAAACTTCCCCATATAAGTTCATTGCTTATATATATATATATATATATATATATATAAAGTATATTCTGTATATATATATATTTATATATATATATATAAAGTATATTCTGTAACATTGTAAACTTTCAAGTGCTCATTAGAAAAGACCTTACCTTCAAAAGATCATAACATTCAGCAAATATTTGTCCAAGTCCTGCTGTGTACTAGGCACTATTCCTGGAATTACAGTGTGTTTGTGAATGAAATGGATGTGGTCCCTTCTCAACTGAAGCTTAAAGAGAAGGGTCTGTGTTATGCTAGACGAAGCCCTAGACTGAGTTCAAGTCCTGTGTTACTTAAATCTCTCTGTTAAGAGAATGAAATGTGAAAACATTTTTAAAAAATCTAATGTTTGATATTTTACTTTTGTCATTTCCAGAGTAAATCTATATTTTCATTTAAAAATTGAAATGAGAGTTTGATTTTCCTCACATATTTTTAGTCCTCTTCAGGCACCTATGGGAATGATCAAATTGTTTGAATTTAGCAGGATATAGTCATCACATATTTCATGACTTTAGTACTATTCTAGGTACTGCTGTAAAACTCATGCTATTAATGAGTTTATGCTCTTAAAAATTACTTTATATTGTTTTTTTGAGTTTTTGGTATTGTTCATATTATTTAAAATTTTAAAATACATTTAGGTACAGTATTTCATTTCCAGGAACATTATATGCTGCTTATTTCTATATGTTATATTTCTATATATTTGCTAGTTCTTTTTGCATACGGAATGTTTTTCATAGAAAGAAAAACATTAGAAGATTTATTATTTTGTTTCTTGCCTTCCAAGGGAGTTACCTTCAGAATTACAGGGTATTTTTGATAAAGAGGAGGTGGATGTTAAAGTTGAAGATAAGAAAAATGAAGTATGTATGTCTGCAAAGCCTGTGTTCCAGCCCTTCTCAGGACAGGGTTACAGACTGGGAAGGTGAGCATGCTGATCATCTGTGTTTTCCATAAGCAGAAGCTTGGCTAATATTCAGTACTCCTAAGTTGTATTTACCTTAGTGTATATTAACATGTGCTGGCTCTACACTAGAAAATCATGGAGACTTTTTTGGTTTTATGAAATCAAAAGGACCTTGCTTATGGAGGACAAATTAGATGGATAAATTGTTTTTTCTCTCTTGCATCTACCACTTCAACTTTGCTATTAATGCTACAGAGTACATATGCTAGCTTTTGAACGTTAAGGTTCTATTTTATAGTTACCAGTGCCTCAAACATTGTGTTCTGTGATCAATATCTGAATTTTAATTTTATTTAGTTTATTTATTTTTTTAAATCTTTTAAATAAAATTTTTAAATCTTTTTTTATCAATATACACATGTAGTTGATTTTCGTGTTCCTTTACCAATTCCTCCCTCCCCCCTCCCTTCCCCCCTTCCACCCAAAATCTGAATTTTGAGGTAATAAAAATGAAAATAAACCTGATAAAGTTAGTATCACTATCAAAGCCTTTAATTATTTTCAAGTTTTGCAGTCTTCGTCCTATCTAACTATGCCTTATGATAGAATATGCAAGAGGTTAGATAAGGGAATCACTTTGATTTTTATAAATTCTCATATTTTAATTATCAAAATTGGCAAGACACATACGAGGGATCTTCAAAAAATTCATAGAAAGATTTGCATTATCTTTTTTTTTGCAGCTGGCCGGTACCGGGATCTGAACCTTTGATCTTGGTGTTATAACTCCATGCTCTAACCAACTGAGCTAACCAGCCAGCCAGCCCTGTATTATCTTTACATCCTATTTTTCCACAAACTTTTTGAAGTACCCTTGTATATATTTATCCACATATACCAAAATGTCTGGATTTGTCTTTCAGAATGATCAGGAAATATTTTGTTTCTTTTTCCTTTATAACTCAAGGACAAATCTATATAGAGAACTTGTCATTTCTTTTAGAAATTTAATCTGGACAGTAGGGAGAGATAAAGCCCATAGATCTATCAGTCCTGTAAAATTATTCTTTAAAGCACTGTTCAAATAAAACTGGTAACGATATATTTACATAGCACTCTACAAGCTTACAAATGACTATGATATGCATAGTTTCATTAGATTCTTAGAAGCATCATATATTGCAGACATAACTAATACAATATCTTTATGTTATTATTGAGGAAATAGTTATGACTTACAAAAATCTTCCTGAAAGCTGTACTTAATGTAAAATTTTTATAATAATTATTTAATGATAAAGTTCTGCTCAGTGGAAAAACGTGTCTAACTTTGTTTTCTTGATTTTCCTAGTGCCACACCAAAAATCGTTTCTAAAGCAAAGAGTATTGAAGTTGAAAATAAAAGTAATTTGTCTGCTGTTCCACTAAATAACTTGGAACCCATCACTAATATACAGATCTGGTTAGCCAATGGGAAAAGGATTGTCCAGAAATTTAACATTTCTCAAAGGTGAGTCTTACATTTTAATATTTGAATGATTTTTTTCGCCCCCCAAGTTGAAATTTTATTTTTTCTTTCAATTCAGTCAACAGTTGTCTTTAAGAACTAAACAAGGATTTTAATAAGTCACAATTGAAAATTCGGGGCATCAGTGAAGTATTTTCAATCTGTTTTATGGATTTTCATTCTGGTCATTTGATTAGTTTTCCTATTTAACTTGATATGTAACTTTAAAATAATTTCTAACATGTTTAAAATCAGTCATTAGCATTATGTATAAAAATATGCATTTTTTTGTACATTGTAGGATGAAAATACAGAAAAATATTGAATGAAATTGAAGTCAATGTGAATTTCACTACTCAGAAATAATATTATCAATTTGGTGCATTTTTCCAGTCTTTCATGTCTTCTTAAAAGTTTTTTTCATTTAATTAAAAGTAGAAAAATACTGTATATAGTTTTTGGGGTTTTTTTAAGCATTTAAAAATTTTTTCAGGAAATATATGGATAAACAACAATAAATATGAGGGTATTTCAAAAAGTTCTTGGAAATACAGAATTAAAAGATAATACGAATCTTTCCATGAACTTTTTGAAGACCCCTCATATATAGAGTTAAAAGAACAATAATAAAATACCTATGTACCACCTAGCTCAAAACATAGATTCTTACCAATATACCTTATGTGCCTTTCCCTGATCATGTCTCTTCTGTGTAAGAAACACTGTCCAAAATTTGTATTAATCATTTCTGCTTTTATTCATACTTTTACCAAGTGTAAAGTAAGGCAAATCACAACTAAAACCAAAATGTTTCATTATTTTAGTTATTATTTTAGTTATACTAAGTTTCCATTTATATTGTCAGAGCTAGGGCTCAGACCCTCCAAACCCACTGTTCATACTGGGTCCCCAGACCCCTCACACACAGACTGGTCCATGCTAGATAATTGGGAAAGATTCCAGGAGCTGTTGGCAGATGACATGAGCTCAGTCCTCAGCTTCCTCTGTGGCAGCAGCTTACAGGTCCAGTAGCTTACAGTAGCCTTGCAGAGGGTCCCGGGGGCACTAGCAGCAGCAGCCTCCAGCAACTTTAGTGGCCTCCCCATGCCACCCCCCCCCACGGGGGGGCATCCTGGGGCTGGGAGGCACCATGGATCAGAGCCACTCATCCTTATACTTAAGTCCATAACCCAGGACACCTGGGTGCACATGCGCAATTACAGTGGACGATAACCAAGGAACACCTGAGCGCATGTGCCTATTTACATCAAATGCTCGGCGAGATTCTGAACATCTGAGGGGCCCTGACCATTTTCCTATATTTTCTAAACACCAAGCATATGTGTATCCCCCCAAAATATTGTTTTGCTTGTTTTCAAATAATTAGTCTAAATTTAGAACAATCACAAACTTAACAAAAAAGTTTCAAGTACAGTGTATAGAACTTCTTTTCCCTAACCATTCAAGAGCAGTTTGTCAGTCTGATGTCCCATCATCGGAAATACTTTAGTGTATATTACATACAAACAAGGACTTTCTCACACATAACCACAATGCAGCCATCTAAATCAGGAAACTTAACACTGATACAGTTCTACTGACTAATAATATTCAGACCCTATTCAAGGTTTGCCATTTAAAATAAAAATAAAATAAAAAACAAAAAAAATTTTTTTTAAGTTTTTTAAACTATTTGCCATTTAATCTAATATTCCTTTCCCCCACCCCCGTGGCCAGCTGTAATATTCTTTATAGCAAAAGGCTGTTCATAATCACGTGTTGCATTTAGTTGTCATGTCTCTGAAGTAGTTCCTTAGTCATTCTTTGATTTTCACAGCCTAGACATTTTTAAAGATTACAAGCCAATTTTTTTTTTATTTGTAATTCTATTTAGGTCACTAATTTTGTCAGGAATGTCACTGAACTGATTCTATGTACCTCTCATTGCATTCTAACAGGTGGCATCATTTACATATTTCTTATTTTGATAATGTTAAGCTTGATTACTTGATTAAAGTGGTATTCACCAGGCTCTTCACTGTAAAGTTATTCTTTTTCCTTTTGTAATTAATATGTATTTTGTGGAGGGAGAACTTTGAAACTGCATAATTATCATGTTCCTCACGAGACATCAGATTTACTTATTTATTTATATCTGTATCTAGTCATGGTTTCCTATTTTATTCAATATGTGTATTGGTCTGTTTCTGTTGCTTATAGCAAAATACATGGAACTGGATATTTTATAAAGAAAACAAAAGTTACTTGGTTACAGTTTCTGAGTCTGGGAAGTCCAAGGTCTATCTCTGGTGGTGGCGACAGGGACCCAGGGGTCTCACATTGCAAGATGGTGGAAGCAGAGAGAGCAGAGAGAGACTCTCGTGCCCTCCTTTTAAAGCCCTCAGAACCACACCTATGACCACCATTATTAATCCATTCACTACATCTTGGTCCTACAATCTAATCACCTCTTCAAGGTCCCACCTTTCAATTATCATAATAGAATTTCTCACCCTCAACATTTACAGGTAGGATTAATCTTCATTTGGGGGCAGGGGACATCCCGTCTACAGCAATAGGTTATAATTTACAACCATTATTTATTTTAATGCCTAAATTGTCCCAGGTACAGTTAGTGGGACCTCCTTTAAACTGGTTCCTGTGTCCTTTTGACATGTTCCCTTTATTCTTTGAGCTTTTCCTTGTTTTCTGGCACAAAAAAATTTTCAGGTTCTTTATATGCTTTTCCAAGAAGCCCTTTTTAGAAGATGATGGTATTAAGAAGCCAGGATTCTGGGTACTAGATGTACTTACTGCTCATTGGGTTACCACTACTCCCAGGCTCTCTGCGTGGACAGAGGTAGATTTGTATACACACGTGTGCGTGCACACAGAGACACACATACATATATGCATTTATACATATGCACATACATTTACATCTGTATTTATTTCTACATCTTTATATATCAAAAACCATGAGTTCACATAATGCATTTCAATCCATAGGGTCTGTTCTAGTTTTCTCCTTTCCATATTTGTAACTAACTTCTCCCACAATGAGAGGCCTGACTGCAGTTACTCTTAATATATTATTCGTTTGATCAATTCTCCTATATGTAACCAATCTCCTTTTTCCACTGCTATCTCCTTCCCCGCATGAAGCCTTCTCACCCTCCTTGCGCTTTGACTCTCCTTGTTGAGTTCCCATGTGGATTCCTTTCTCTTCCTACTGGGTCTCTGACTCATAACCCTACACCACCCCTCCGTAGGGGTGTCTTTTCTCATGCTTGGAGTTCAGTAAGTACCCCATGCCAATGACCTCCTCACTGTCTCAGGCTCTGACACTGTGTGCTGCCTTTCCTGCCCCATGCTTGGATGCTCTCTTCATGCCTTTATAGTGCTGACATACTGCAGTAGACCACTTTCCATATGAATGCTCTTTTTTATTCTGCTTTGTGCCACCTCTCCCCATACCTTCCAGTGCGGATATAACTCCTCACCCCACTTTTGTCCTCTGACGTTCTACACTAGACACACTCCTCTATGTGCATGTGCTCCTAGCCCTGCTTAGCTCCAGCCACCCCCACTTTCCCTCCCCCTGCATGGATACCCTCATCATCCCAGTTAGGCATGCGGGGCAGGGCCAGCTTTCTGATTCCCTCTTCTGAGCCACCAACATTTCTGGTCTGGATGCCTCCCACATTCTGTCCTACTGATGAATTAATGGCTTTTTTTTTTTTTTTTTTCCTTTTTGTCTTTTTTCGTGACCGGCAACGGATCGCAACCCTCAGTGTCGCGCCCGTACCGGACCGGGACCGGCAACGGGATCGCAACCCTCAGTGTTGCGCCCGTACCTCGCTCAGCCAGTGAGTGGCCGGTCTGTATGCGGGATCCGAACCCTCGGCGGGAGCGCTGCTGCGCTCCCAAGCAGCGCATTGTAGCAGTGCGCCACCGGGCCGGCCCTGAATTAATGGCTTTTGAACTGAATTGTTCAACAAGGAAATGGAAGAGCAGTTTTGCTTTTTTTTTAAACTTCATGTGAATGGAACCATAGTGTATGTGTTCAGCTGTAACTTTTTTTTGCTCATTATTATGTTTTTGGTATTCATCCATGTTCATGTGTATAGCTGTAGCTAATTCTTTTTCATTATTGTACTATAATTCATTATGTGGAACAAATTATTTATCTACTCTATTTTTGTTGGTAACAGTCCAGGTTTCTGTTTGTTTATATAAATTTATCAATCAGCTGTTTCTCAGAAAAATTTCAAGGCAGAGAATAATCAGTATTTCTTTATCATGCATGTGCTGGGACGGCTTTGCTGATCTCAGCTGGGCTCGTTCACACTTCTGCAGGTCCTCTGAGGGAGCTCTGATTTTAGTTGTAGGTCAGTGAGTCTAAGTCTGCTCCTTGTGTCTCCTTGAATCATCAAACTACCTGACCATGTTGTTCTCATAGTAAGGACAGGGGCACAAGAGGCAGGTCCCACTGAGCAAGTGTCTACTTGCATCACTCTTTTAACATCCCATTGGCCAGAAAAAGTTACATGGCTATGTCCTGTGTATGGAAAAGACTATCCTCACCCTGTGGCACCTTTTTGTAAATCAGATATATCTGGATCTGTTTTGGACTCTCTGTTAGAGTGGTCCGTTTATCCTTCCTTTTGCCGACTCCCTACTGTCTTAATCATTGTTGCTTTAAATCAGTTATTACTTTTTTTTCTGCTTATTTTATCAGTTACCAAGAGAGTTCTGCTAAAATCTCCAAGTATGATTATGGATTTATCGACTTCTCCTTTTACTTATGTCAACATTTGCATTATATATTTTAAAGCTATATAATTAGGTCTAGCAGAGATAAAATTGTTGTGTTTTTCTGGTTAATTAACCTCGTAGGGAGAAAGATTTCTTTGCTCACTTATCACTAGGCTTATGGCCAAGACCCCCATAACAAAAGGCAGATTAACAAGAGAAAAGCACACAAATGTATTTAGCATAATTTTTGCATGAGATGGGAGTCTTCAGAAATTAAGACCTAAAGAAATAGGGAAATCTGTGTATTTTATGCTTAGTTTGATAAGTGTCTAGTCGTAGAGAAATATGATTGGAGGACAAAGGGGGATGATAATAAAGTGGGGAGAACTTAGCAAGGCCTATTTGTTCAGATTCTTCTTGGAGTCTCTGTGTCTTTAAGGGTAAAGATGTTCCTTTCCTCCAGGTATCGAGAGGGTACCTCTGAAATGAAAATTTTTATGACCTACCTACTTTAGAGGAAGGGCAGAGAATTCTTCTATGGCTTGCTTTAAGGGGAAAAGGGCAAGAAAAAGGTGAGAGTGACTTTTCTGCTTCTGCTGGTTTCTCAAATGCCAATTGGCCATATTTTGGGGTAGCTATTTCTGAATCTCTTCAGCCTTTTAAAAAGCACTGTGACATGTCCTTCTTTGGGTGGCCAGTTGGCTCAGTTGGTTAGAACATGGTGTTATAACACCAAAGTCAAAGGTCCTCTTAATCTTTTTATTTTTTCTTTTTTTGTTGGTTTGTTTTTCTTAATCTTTGATAATGCTTTTTGTTTTGAAATCTACTTTGCCTGATATTAACATAGTCATATCAGTTTCTTTATGACTAGTGTTTGCATGGTATATCTTTCTCCTTCCTTTTAATTTCAATTTATCTATATATTCATCTGTATATTTAAAAGTGTCTCATAGTTATTTGTTTCATTTTTATATCTAGACTAACAGTCTTTATTGGTTTCCATTTTGTGTTATTGTTTTGTTTTTAGCTACCATCTACTGAGTGCTTTTTATGTGTTTGGCTCTCTTGAAGGCATTTTACTTAGATTCTTTCTAAATGTCAAAACCACTCTAGACTGCTAGATCAGAGAACTGATTATCTAACAACAGAAGAAGCATATGTTTGAAATGCTGTCGTGGAATGTTCTTCTGTGACCCAAATTCCTTTCAGGTGAAAGGAGGACAAACTACAGACGTGGAAAACGGAAGCAGGAATTTTTTATTCTGGGCCAAGCTTTTTTTTTTTTTTTTTTTCCCCCAAGGGAAATAAAATATTTAATCTCCACCTCTTTTTTTTTTTTTTTTACACGATCTAGTTTTTAAAAATTGAAACATAATTGATTGAACCTATCTGTGGGGTACAGCACTGAATATCAATACCTGTGTGCAATATGTGATGCTCAAATCAGGATAATTAGTACATTCAACATTACACAGTGTAATCTTGTTTTATGGCCCTTTACCAATTTCTCACTAACCCTCCATCATCTCCCCCTTTCCCACCTCTGGTTGCCTTGGTTCTATTCTCTCCTTTTGAAAGTTCAATGTATTATTGTGATTGTTGTATCTTTCTTTCTTTTTTTCCTTTTTTTCTTGAGCTCCCACTTATGAGTGAGGACATGCATTATTTCTCTTTCTGTTCCTGGCTTACTTCACTTAACGTAATTTTCTCTGAGTTCATCCATGTTGCTGCAAATGGCAGAATTTCATTCTTTTTTCATGACAGAATAGTATTCCATTGTGTATATATACCACATTTTCCTTATCCAGTCATCCATTGATGGACATTAAGGCTGGTTCCAACTTTTGGCTATTGTAAATAGAGCTGTGATAAACATGGGAGTACAGGTATTCCTTCAACATGATGAATTCCAATAAGAAAATGAAGTTTTTTAAATTGCATTATCTTGTTAACCCTGTTAAAACAATTATTTTTCCTAAACTCTTTAATGAGCTTTATTAGTGCTTACTGCCAAGTTCTTCATTCAGCTACTTCCTAATATTAAAGTTCTTTATTTTGATTTATTTTTTAATCAACTGGAAAATACACACAGAGGTACAGGATTGTTCACTTTGCCCATATACAGCTTGACTGGGTATAGGAATGTTTGATAACTAATTTTTGCTGACAGTTCTTCAGATGTTTCTTCATTTTCTTATTGTGTTGAATGTTGCAGACTATTCTTAAGATTAGCTTGATTTTTTTTTCCTTATTATTTGGGAAGAAGGGCTGGGTAAGTAGAAATTTTCTTTATTTTTGAAACACAAATTTGCTAAGCCCATTGCCTCCCTATCTCCCTGTGCATAGTTTATTCATTCCCCTGTCATTCTTCATCCCTCATTTGTCTAACCTTTCCAAATCTTACCTTTTGAGACTACACTCATGTGAACTAACAGGCTGGCCTGTTAGTTCAGTTGGTGAGAGCACAGCCTTATACCACCAAGGTGACAGGTTTAGATCCCTATACCAAGCAGCCACCAAAAAAAAAAAAAAAGACCAAACTCAAATCCTTCCACCTCCAGAAATATTTCCCCAGTTCCTTTAATCTTTATCGTTTTCTTGTTTTTTATATTCACTGACATAAGCTTTAGCCTTTAGTTATCCAGTTTTTGGTACCCATGTAAATACACGGGACCATGTCTTATCCTAGACTTTTGGTAACCCTTACAGTTTAATAGACTGGCCCATAGTGAATTTTAGTGAAACAATTGAATGGAAGAATTCTGTCTTAAGTGATATGCCATATTTCATTAATTCTGTGTTGCAGGGTTTTTTTTCACATTTTAGCATCTCTGAAATGGGAATGCATCCTGTAATCTGTTGTTGGCCATTTGGCAGTCATGACACAACTGTCTTTGCCTTAGCATCTGCCTCAAAGCATGCAGACCAAATGTTAGTGGAATGAAAGACCATCCCAGGGACAGTAGAGGAGCACTTTTAAAATAAATTCTATATCATCAACACACCTTATGATACAGAGGGTGGGTACCATGTGGAAAAATGTACATTGATGACCAAATAAAAAATGATTAAGAGGATCTGAGTCTGAATAATGTTCAAGTGATACTTGATTTATTTACTTATATTTTCCATTTTATGGAAGTACATGAGTGATTTGATAAATGTGTGAAATCAAGTCTAAAAGTGCTCTTTCAATAAATATAAAATAAAACTTTTGTTAAAGTATTTTATGTCATGGAAAAATTTTATAATCTGGATTTTCTAAAAGTTTTTTTTACATGCATAGAAAAAGGATGTGTCTTAAAATCAGTGGTATTTTAGTTTCAATCAACTGAATATGTCCTCTCTCCCTTTCTCTAAATACACACACACATGAGCAGAACTTTGAGCTACATTCAAGATTGCAATGACTTTATTATTTTACAGTGAATAACACTATGTTTATTGTACTAACTGAAATTCCACCTGCATTGAGTTAAAATTTTTCCTAATTGTATTTAAAGCACAACATGACCTGATATTTAACAGAAACAACCTGTGTCTGTGTAGGATCATTGGTTGGGCCACTTCTGTTCCATTCAGAGCTAGTTATAGATATAATAAACTTTCTATTATAAAAAATTTCAGATACATACAAAAGCAAAGAGAAGATATAATGATCCATCATTCAGCTCCCACTGAACTATCTTTAAGCAAATTCCAGAATTCATATAGTTTCATATATAAATATTTCAGTGTGTTTCTGAAAGATGACTTATTAAAAATGTAGCCATAATACCCTTGTCACTTCTAAGACAATTAATAGTAATTTCTTATTATCATCAAATATCTAGGGGCCATCCTTTAAAAGGTAGCTCCAATGATTAGTTATATCATATAATTTGATTATTCTATGTATTAGAGTATATAGAACATATATATATAAGAATATGTAGAACAATATATATTAGAACATATATGACATAATGTATATTAAAATATATCCAGATACCTTCACAAGTTATTACCTTAAATTAGTTAATTCAAGCTTCCATAAAATTATATTAATAGCTTGTGCTGTTTTACAGGGTAAGCCACATCAAAGACTTCATCGAAAAATACCAAGGATCTCAACGAAGTCCTCCCTTTTTCCTGGCAACAGCTCTTCCTTTTCTCAAATTACTAGATGAAACACTCACACTGGAAGAAGCAGATTTACAGAATGCTGTAATCATTCAGAGACTCCAAAAAACTGCTGAACCATTTAGAGAACTTTCATAGCATTAGTTTTTGATAGACTAAGTGGAAAATTTGCAGAGAAGTGATGTTTGAAAGTGGACATGCAAACCAAAATGGAGAGAAGTCATATTCGCTGGACTTGTAGTTCGAGTATTATTTAACTCTCCCAATGATTTTTAAATAAGTACACAGTAGGAAAGTAACATATGACTGGAAACTATATTTGATGCACTTTTGAATATACTTATTGTCAAATACTGATTAATCAACATATTTTATGCATTTTGGGGGGGGCAGTGGGAGCTGGCCTACACAGGGATCGGAAACTTCAACAGTGTTTTAACACCATGCTGTAACCAACTGAGCTAAATGGCCAGCCCCCCAAAAAGATATTTTAAATAGCTGTATCATTTTGAATCTTAATATGGTATAAATTAGCAAATATGTTTACAGCATCAGTCATTCAAACATTATTCCTAAACAGTAGGGATTTATTTAAATGTTATTTGTCTCAGAGTTTTTAAATGGCAATATGTTAAAAAAAACCATACATGGCAGGTTAAAAGCATCAGTGTAATAATTTTATAATTCAGATATAATCAAAAGGCTGGAAGGACCTGTTTTCACCACGGCTATGCCTGAACCTCAAAGTGTTCTCAGTTTTCATTCTGTAATGGCAAGATATATTCAAATATCATTTGGGAAACAGTATCTAAGATGTATTTTCTTTTAAGAATAAAATTGTGTAGCTTAGTGTAATGTCAGTATTAATGACATTTCTATACTTTCAAAAAATGTAATTTTAAAGAAAAATTTTCTGTCCAGGAACCCCAGTTTATCTCCTTTCTATAATTTCTTTCAAATATTAGGGATTTTTTTTTTTAGCTAACATTTGGGATTAGCCATTCATTTGCCACCACTCACTTAGAATCTAATGCCTGTGTTGTCACTTTACTAATTAATGAATATTTTTTAAATGCTCCTCGTTAAAGTATGGTTTTCCATTTCATACGTCAGAGTCAACCTGTGTATACATTAAAAGATTATTTATTACTTTTTTTTTTTTTTTTTTGTCAGCTGGCCAGTAAGGCGATCTGAACTCTTGACTTTGTTGTTATAACATATTTATTACATTCTGATGTCACCAAGAAATCATGTTTTGTATCTTAGATGTTCAACTAAAATCAGACCTCGATATTTCACTGTCAGATTAAATTCAATTGCTTGAGGGCCGGCCTGGTGGCGCACTGGATGGTGCGCCACTTGGGAAGCGCGGCGGCGCTCCCGCCCGAGGGTTCGGATCCCACGTACAGACCGGTTCCCGCTCACTGGCTGAGCGAGGCACGGGAGCAACGCCGAGGGTTGCGGTCCCATTGCTGGTCCCGGTCCGGTGTGGGGGCGACACTGAGGGTTGCGATCCGTTGCCGGACACGGAAAAAAAAAAAAAAAAAAAAAAAAAAAAAAAATTCAATTGCTTGAAAATAAGTTTAAGAAGCTTTTTCACAAATGTCCTATTGAAACAGATTTAAAGTGAAGTATATATTGAGTGCACCAGGGAACTAAGTGGCCCATATCAGTAGTAATGTTCATAGGGTGCTGGATGTATACTGTAAAGCAGCAGTTCTCAAACCTTTTGGTCTCAATACCTTTTGTTTATGTAGGATATGCATATATATATTTACTCAAAAGTTTTATTCATTTAAAAATAATAACTTCCGGGCTGACTCCGTGGCGCACTCGGGAGAGTGGAGCGCTGGGAGCGCAGTGCCGCTCCCGCCGCGGGTTTGGATCCTATATAGGAATGGCCGGTGCGGGGCGATCCCCTTACCGGTCACGAAAAAGACAAAAAAAATAAAAAATAAAAAAATAAAAATAATTACAAAGCATAAAAAGATTTAGTGAGAAAAGTGGCACTGCATTCTGTTTTTTGCAAATATCTTTATATGATTAAAGAAAACAGGTGGTTTCTCATATCTAATTCTACATTCAATCTGTTGTGATATCACACATTATGTAGCCACTGGAAAACACCACAGTGCACTCATGAGAGAATGAAAAAGCAAATAACGCCTTTGTATGATATGAAAAAAGTTTTGACATCACAGACCCCCTGAATGGATCTCAGGAATCCCAAGGTGTCCCTCAACCACACTTTGAGAACCAATCCTATAAAGAAATGGTTCTCAATGACTCTCAGTTTTCAGTGTAATAATAAACTGTGGGCTGACCAGTTGTTAGCTCAGTTGGTTAGACCACGGTGTTATAACACCAGGGTCAAGGGTTCAGATTTTCATACTGGCCAGCCACCAAAAACCAAAAACCACCTGGGGCGCTCTTCAAAAATGGCTGTTCCAGTCACCTACCACAAATATTATGATTCACTTTATCTGGGATGGGTGCCAGATCTCTGCATTTTTAATCTCGAGTGATTCTTAGGCATATGGTACAAGTATCACTCTTCAGGAAATCCTGCGCTAAGCTTTCACCCTAAGAAAATAAAACCTACATGCTTCACCACGAACAGTGGAAGACTCCACTGAAATAGGGCTGCTAGACCTCTAAGTTTTATCTTCCTCCCCTGAGTTTGCTCTTAGAAAGTCTGTTAGTCCTTTAACCCCAGACTAATCATGATATAAATCTGTGCTTTATCCTATAGCACAGCTGAGTCAAGGTTGGGATATTTAACCATTTTTAACCATTTTTACTAAAGATTCAATAATAACAGAAGGGAAGTATATGTGTAACTAGATTTATAGCTTATAAGATATATCTTCTGTTTGTGCTCTATTTTAAGAATGCTTCCTTTCCCAGTTCCCATCCTTTCAAAAGGCGAAGTCTGTCTTTATATTAAGAAGAGGAGGAGGACAAAGGAGAGTCTTGTCTGTTTGTCATTCTTATAAAATGAGGGGATGGTAGAATCAAAGAACTTATCTTTCAGATATAGAAAATAACTTAGGATGATTACGAATATACCTAATCAATATATCATTCTCTATTTCTATAAAGGGCCTGTCATTGAGAATCTTTCTTGTGTACCTATAGAAAAGCCTCCTTTGTGGATTTTCCAGTTAATAGTTATTTAGCCAGAAGACAGAGGAGTTTTCTTGTGTGTAAATATAGAATACACCCCAGTGAAAGTTCATTGTAGAGAAAGACCTGTCATCAGCAATAAAACCTTCATTTTTGTAACTGAAAATTTTCATTACTGTGAATAATATTCTCAAAGTTTTCTAAAATGAGAATCATCTGACAGAGCTTTTTTACCTGAAAGTTTAAAAGTTGTGAAGTTGTTAATTAAATGTGTAGAATACTCAAAACAGTTGACTTTGGAAAACATAAACTGAATTTGCCAAGGGAAGGAAAAGTTGAAAATAAGCATCTTAGGTATGGAATACAATTTGACCTAAGTTTCAAAACTGTTATCAATTGGTTTCTGGAAAATAATTGCTAGGACTGATGTATAGAAATACATTTGTAATTTTACAGATTCTGTTTAATGGTTAAATTACTATGCATTATCCAAGTTAAAAAGTAATCTTATTTATTTTATATACTTCTCTCATTCAGTATACTTTTCATGATGTTTCAGTGTGTTGATAACATGGTATGTATGCATTTATTTCAGTGCCTTAAAGTATTTTGAAAGCAATCTTTTGCTAATGGCTAAAGAACTGTTCTCTTAAGGATGAAATACTGTTTGTTAAAAGGATCTGTGAAATAATTTACACTTGTTATAAAATAGTTACATATAGATACATTTGTCATTTTCATTTGGCAAAGTCATTCAGTTTTAATAATCAACAAACATTTATTAGGTGCCTTCACTTTAACCGATGTTACTTTAATACTCAGAAATGTGGAAATGAGATATTTTTAATACCAACTCAATAGTTGTGTTTATTTTTTAAACCATCTTTTGTGTCCTGAGTTGAACTAGCATGACGACTCTTTAATAGGGTTTACTCCTTTGTTCTTTTTCTTCCTTAATACAAAATCATGTAATTAAAATATTGCTCATCACACTAAATGCTCAAATAGAAGTGGCTTATTCAGTACACTAATATTTGGCTCTTTGTCATTTGTTTTATTTATCTTTTTATTTTTAACTTTTTCTGTGGCTGGCCAGTGTGGGGATCTGAACCTTTGACTGTCACTTGTTTTAAATGTATTTTTTTTTTTGCACAGGTAATTCACATTCATTATAGAAAATTATAAAATGACACAAGGGGAGTCACCAGCAGAGACCAAAGAATAGGATGTCTCTCTCCAATAAAGCCCTTCCAGAGTGACAGAAGAAGCATCTGCTCTATGATAATATTGGGGCAACTGAACACACCTTTCAGCATTGGACAGATCATCTAGGCAACAAATCAACAGAGTAACCATTACTCTTTCAGAAGGAGAGAAGAAATCTAGGATTATCAGTAGTGGGAGCGGGGAAGGAGAGGGGGATAGGGAGAGATTGGACAAAGGGCATAAAGAATAAGTACAATTTGTTACAATATACATACTAGTAATATTGATTTGATAACATGTCGACACTAAATCCCAAAAATATGTACAATCATGATTCTATTTTTCAAAAAAATATTTTTTTGCAGTTAATTCATATTCATTATAGAAAATTATAAAATGAAGATATGCTAAAATGATCTTTAAATCACCTATATTCCACCATTCAAAAATAACCACTAACATTTTCTGGCAGCTGGCTGGTGTGGGGACTCGAACCCGTGACCTTGGTGTCACAAGGCTGTGCTCTAACCAACTGAGCTAAACCAGCCAGCTCTAACCGCTAACATTTTGATGTGCATTCTTTCAGATATTTTCTAGGTATCAGTCTTTTATTTTAAGTAAAGGGCAACTGCCTTGATTATTTTAATCCTGCTGTTTCATCTATTGAAATCTATTTTATTTGCCTTTTTCATTAAAAATTGCATTAGGAACATGCCATGACTTTAAAGTAAAATAAAACCTGTGGGGAGGGGGGGGAATGCCTTTAATTTTAGTTACATTTCTTTGCCCCCCCCCCAAAAAAAAATTTTTTTTTTTAACCTGCTTCCTTACAAAATTAAAACTGTGGTAGTGTACACAACAAAGTACAAGTATTGGGAATGAAACGTTATCAAACCTGCTAAAAATGCATATAAAAGTTATGTATTTAAAAGTAATCTAAATAAATTTTGGCTTTAGTTTATGTTTAATTTCCAAGGAATTAAATATTTAGCACATGTATTATCTATCAATTGTTCCACTGAATCAAGGAAACAAAAGTTACCCATTTTGTAGATTTAAGAAATTGAGGCATAGAAAATGGAATGACTTGCTCTAGACCTGCTATTATATTTTCTAGGATTAGCTTTAGCTATGACAGGAAATACAAAATTATAGTTGCTTACAAAATAAAATTTTATTTATTTCCCATACAAAAGTCCAAAGGGAAGCAGTTCAAGGCCAGTAGATCAACTTCATGAAATCATCAGACTCCTGTATTTTTGATCTGCCAATCTCAGCACATGGTACTCAGGTCTCAAGATAGCTGCAATAGCATAGCTTTAATGAATGAGATGTAATTCACAGATCATGCAATTCACCTATTTAAAGTATACAATTCAACTGTTTCGCAACCATCACCACAGTCTAATTTTAGAAAAATTTTATCTCCTCTAAAAGAAACCCCATACTCTTTAGCAGTAACTTCCTACCCAGTCCTAGGCAACCACAAATCTACATTCTGCCTCTATATATTGCCTTTTCTAGACATTGCATATAAATGGAATCATACAATATGTGATCTTTTGTGGCTGGCTTCTTTCACTTAGCATAATGTCTTCAAGGTTTATCTGTGTTGTAGCATGTCATATTAGTTCGTTTTCTGTTGCTTATAACATAATGCCTAAAACTGGGTAATTTATAAAGAAATTAAATTTATTTTACAGTTTTGGAGGTTGGGAAGTCCACAGTCCATGGGGCACATCTGGCGAGCACTGCCTTCTTGGTGGGGGAGCGCTATATAAAGTCCTGTGGCAACACAGGGCTTTTCGTGGTGAGAGTGGCAAGAGCACTCTTATGTGCTACTTACGAAGTGACCAGTCCACACCCATGACAACTCATTACACCATGAATGGATTAACCCATTCACAAGGGCACAGTCCTCTTGACCTTGGTGTTACCAGCACCACCCTGTAACCAACTGAGCTAATGGGCCGGCCTCCCTCAAATCCTTGTTATTGTCCAATAATGGTCCATTTTATTTATTCATTCATAACCTGGTGGATATTTGGGTTGTTTCTATTTTTTGGCTATTACATATATTAAATGATGCTGCTAACATTTGTGTTCAAGTTTTTATGTGAACATGTTTTCATTTTTTTAGGCTATATATCTAGGAATGAAATTGCTGGATCGTATGGTAATTCCACATTTAACATTTTGACAAACTGCCAGACTTCCAAAGGGCCTGCATTAGTTTACATTCCCACTAGCAATATCTGAGGGCTCTGATTTCTCCACGTTCTCCCCAACACTTATGTCTGTCTCTCTAATTATAGCCACCCTAGTGGATCTGAAGTGGTATCTTCTATTTTGATTTGTATTTCAAATGATGTGAGCACCTTTATATATGCTTATTTTCCATTTGTATATCTTTAGAGAAATATCTGTTCAAATCCACTGCCTCTTTTAAATTGGATTGCTTTTACTGAGTTGTGAGAGTTCTTTACGTATTCTAATACAACCCCGTATGATTTGCAACTGTTTCCTCCCATTCTGTGGGTTGTCTTTTCGCTTACTTGTTGGAATCGTTTGCAGCACAAATTTTTCATTTCGATACAATCCAGCTCAGGCTTGCGGTGTCCTAAGAAACTTTCGTCTAACCCAATATTAGGAAGATTTGCTCCTGTTTTCTTAGAAGAGTTATAGCGTTCACATTCAGTTCTTTGATGCATTTTCAGTTAATTTTTGTATTCGTATGTGGCGTGGCGCCTTCCTTTTTAGGGACCTTTCCGGGACATTGCATGCACCACTGCTTTCATTCACCGGCCAGAGCTTGGTTCCATGGCCGTACCCATCGTGTGTATGAGAGGCTGGAAGATGTGCATTTCAGGCTTCCGATATCCAGTTTATCAGGGACAGTCCAGAGGGACTTGGCCTTTCCCCCAGCGAATTTTGGGTCTTGGCGTGTTTCCCCGTGTGGAAGGGAATCCGTGCGCCTCGCGGTTCCTGGGTTTCCCCCGCCGCGCCGCGCCACGCCCTCTGGGCCTGGAGCCGCCCTCCCGCGGGGCCACACGCCGAGGGCGACAGTCGCAGCGGAGGTCGGAGCCGCTGCGCGCGATGGGGGGGCCCCCTGGACCGGCCCCGGCCGCAGAGGCGCCTGCACCGCAGCCGGAAGCGCACACCGTGGAGCCCAGCTCGGTGAGCGCAAAGCGAGGGCGAGAGGGGAGCGGGGGCTGAGCCAGGCCGGGGAAGGCCGCCCCCCGGAGCTGCCAACAGCCCTGCAGGGGGCTTGGCCTCTGCATCACCAGGTTCGACAGTTTAGTCTATGAGAGCGGGGAGGCTGAGGATACTGGGACGCCCCAAGGAGAATAGGATGGAAAACAGAGTCCTAGACAAGTGAAGTAACTTTCTGGATTCATTCATAGGCAGGACCAGGCGGGTCTCTGGTCTCCTGATTTCCAGACTAGGGCTCTTGTCCAGGCTACTGCAGGTCCTTGCAGAGGCCTCCTGAGCCCTGGGCAGGTAGCGCTCTGGGTTGTGCGTGAGGAGGCTGCCACCCTTCCCAATCTCCAGGCTGCGGTGTAGGCTTAGCCTCCTCTCAAACCCTGGCATCGCCCAAGCATGAGGCTCTCCTGGGGGAGACTGCCTCCAGGGATGACCTTGCTGGCAGTCGGGCTCCAGGGTGAGGGTAGAGGGCAGGTGGAAATCCAGAGATGTTCTCACTCCTTCTGCATCCCCTGCGTGGAGAGGGGCTGGGGCACAGGCTGGAGAGGTGGCTGTGCTGGAGAGGAGTTAGGGGTTCCCTTGGGCTTTCTGAGCAATACTGAATGCAACACCCGCTCCTGCTCCATAGTCAAGGCATGCTGGGGTGTCACTTGACCACTTGATCACCATCCCAACCCCCTACCTTGACTCAGTGCTTCTTGTCAGGCACCTCAGAGCAAAGAAGGATTGTGTCACCCAAGAAAGAAAGTGAGATAAGGAGGCCCTCTGGGGACTCTCATTTCCTAGCGAAATTCAAAAATTTGGAGTGGGATTAAGGGCAAAAGGGAAAACTAACATTGCCAGTGAAATGCCAGCATTTAATTCTATGACAACCCTATGAGATGTGTTATCCCCATTTTACATGTGAGGAAACTCAGGCTCAGCAAGGGTGAGTAACTTGCCCTAGGTCACACAGCTAGAAATGACAAATGCAGAATTTGAGTCTAATTTGTTTAACTGTGAAACTTGTACTCAGTTGACTATGAAAGGCTTTTGACTTAAGTAAAACTGTCATCCTCAAGACTCCAAGATTGTATTGTATCCCTAGTTTCAGCTGGACTTTCTTTCGAGTGCCTTCTGTGTTCTAGAAGCTTGCATTTTTTCCCCATTTTGAGGGAAACAAGAGTCCCATTTGGGGGAGGGCTGTCATGTTGGATTCTGCCTGTTTCTTAAAGTTTTCTGGAAGTTGAAATAATATTCACACAAATGTCAGAGAAAGAGAACACATACTGCCTTGAGTGTGGTTTGCTCCTGTGGGTAGGAAGGTCGTGCAGAGGATATGATAAACCCTTATCTGGGAAGACCTTCCCTTCAGAGGAGCCTGCTCGTGGTGTCTGGCAAGATAACAAAGTAGTAAAGCCATAGTCCTTCCCACCACCCCTCCCAACCCCAAGCAAAGGACGAGAAAGAAAGATTCCCAGCATCTCTTGAAGAAAGAGCACTTTACACAGTGTCTTCATGGCCATTTATTGCTTCAGCTAATATATATTGAGCACCTACTGTATCCCAAGCGTTGTTCTAGGTACTGGAGACACTATGGTGAATAAAAGTTATAGTTCATGCTCTCAGAGAGCTTACATTCCCGGGGGAGAAGCAGGACATGAATGAGAATATACCAGGCAGTAAGTACAATTGAGAGAGACTGGGGGTGGTCAGGGAATGCCTTTCTGAGGAGGTGACATTTAAGGTCAGTTCTTCAAAGACATAGAAGAGCCTTCCAAGCAGAAGAAACAGGAAATGCAAAGGCCCTGGGACAGCAACAGGCTTAGCCATTTTGAAGAATAGGAGGTCACCATGGCTGACAGAGAGCTCTTTGCAGTGAGGTGGGTAAGGACTGGGGGTTCATTGGGTGGGCTCCTGTAAGCTGTGGTAAGGACCTGAAGTTTTATTCAGACTGTAGTGGCAAGCTGTTGGAAGATTTTAAGCAGAGAAGAGACATGATCTGATTTATATTATTAAAAGATCACTGGCTGCTGGGTGGACAGTGGATTGTAGAGAACAAGAGCAGAAGCAGAGAAGCCACTTAGGAGGCTCTCACTGATAGATGAGAAAAAGGAATCAAGGGTGACTCCTAGGTTTGTGGCCCGAGTCACTGAGCAGACAGTGGTGCCATTTAGTGCAATGGGGATAACAGGGTTAGGAGCTGGTTTAGACAATGCGATGGAAATCAGGAGCTCTGTTTTGACGGTGCTGAGTCGAGAGGCCTGTCAGTAATCCATGTGCAGCTGTGAGTAGGCAATGGAATCCGAGTCTGGAGTTCCCTGGATGGCTTAGGGCTTGTGGTATTATGTAAAGTCGGGCTCATAAATGTTACTTTGTTTTAATGGTGGGCTGGTAAACAGTCTTTACAGGGGGTTAAAAAAAAAAAAAAAAGCTCTGATTTGGTATGTTTGCTGAGTTTTGTGTTGTAAATACTGTTACCATCACCGATTTCAGGCTGCGGGTGGTTCAAATGGCTTACAAAAGTCCTGAACATCTAACAATCCCCTCTGCCTCCTTTACTCATCAAAACAATCTTGTGAAGTTGGCCAAGATACTGCATTTGGTGGATGAGGAAAATAAGGCTTAGAGAAATAAAGTGATTTATTCAAGGTCACACAGGGAGTAGATGGCAAGGAAAGGGCTCGAGCCCAGGTCTCCTGACTTGCAGTTCACTTTGGCTTGCTGACTCAGTAAATTCAGGCAGCAGCAGGGAGCATGCGGGGAAATGTGAGGAAGACCTTCTTCCCCTGGAAACGTTTACAGGTCATGGTTTAGGATCTTTTTTTTTTTTTTTTTTTTTTGTAGTCTCACTTCCCCTTAGGATGATTTGGGGGCAAAATGTGGCTGAGAGGTGAGAGGTTACTGGAAAAGCCCTGAAGACATCATAGGGACCTCAGGATGCTTATGGAAGTCATGGGGGTACGGGGAGCTGTTCTGTGTCTGTGGGGTAAAGGCTTAGTTCCTGTGTCTTCTCCAGGACAGCAGAGCTGATCGCCTCTCATTCTGTACAAAAGTGTGCTATGGTATTGGTGGGGTCCCCAACCAGGTGGCCTCCAGCGCCACAGCCTTTTACCTGCAACTCTTCCTGCTTGATGTGGCACAGGTGAGTGTGGGCAGCAGCCCAGGGCCCCTTGCTTACATCTTCCCTGGTGTCTGGTCGTTCCTCCCACCTGGATTTCTACTCTCACCATCCTTCTGACCCAAGCCTACCCAATAGCCAAATGCTATTTACGGCAACCTCCTCAAGGATGTTTACCGCAACCTGTTTGCAGTGGGAGAAACACTGTGAATGCCTGACACTACAGAAGCAGTTAGCTAAGTAAGTTGTACGATATCCACAAAATGGACTATCGTGCAGCCGTTCAAAAGAATGATCTATGCAAGTTGACTTGGAGGGATTTCCATGATGCACTCACCCGCAGCAGCCCTGTGAGGCTGGGCCTGGTCTCCTTTGCCGAAAGGGCGACGCAGACACGTTAACACCCTGCCAGAGACACTAGGCTGGCGGTGGAGTTTGCAATTCGTCCGACTCCAGAATCCAGAAGCAAGGAAGGGAGGGAGGGAGGAAAAAGGGATGGAAGGAAGGAGGGAGGGAGGGAGGGAGGGAGGGAGGGAGGGAGGAAAGAAAAGCTAGTTTTAGAGATGAGTATATAAAATGACCCCATTTTAGCAAAAGACACGCTCCATATCGTGTGTACGCATGGGTACATGTATGTATGTGTTTGTATGAGATTAAAATATGAGCGTGGAGAAAAGTATAGAAGGATATATATACACCAAGCTGTTAATGTTGGCTACAGGGGGGAATGGTGGAGGATAGAGGGTAAGCAAAACCAAATTTTTTAAAGGAGGTATCCATGATTTTTAAAAAATGACACTCTGATATGATCCCATTTATATAAGATTATAAATTTCAAATGCACATAAAGAAACACATGAAAGGGTTTGGATCCCTGTACCAGCCAGCCACACACACACAAAAAAAATGCATAAAAGGATGATCATCACATAGTTTTGGCAATTGTCTCAGGATGGTGGGATTTCAGAGGAGTTTCACGTAATACTTTTCTGTATTATTTGAATGTTTTTCTAATGACTGTATCATTTATGTAATCAGAAAAACCAGTAAAACATTTTCATTGTGAAACAAAACATCTACCTCTGACTGTCAGCCTCGGTGCACCCTTCTTGTTCTGAGCCGCCCCCAGATGAGGGTCCCTCAAGTCTTCTCTGAAAGTGACTGTGCATGAATAATAATGGGAAAGTGCCAATGTGCAGCTGACACCCCCTTCTTCACTAATGCAGATGAGCCCTGAGAATTGTCTGGATTAGATCCTGGGGAGGGAGCTGAGTAGCCCTTTACACCGTGGCTCTAGCCCTAGCAGGGTTCCCAGGTCTCCCTCCGGGTGGGCAGGCAGGCAGGCCCTCTCTGACTCTGCCAGGCCTTGCCTACCTATCCCCTTCCCTATTTCAGATCCCTGCTGCTCAGGTGTCACTTGTCCTGGTTGGAGGGAAGGTGTCTGGGGCAGCTGCTGACCCTGTGGCTGGATTCTTCATCAACAGAAGCAGGAGGACAGGGTCTGGACGGCTCATGCCCTGGTGAGCAGCCCAGTGGTCTTTAACATCCAAGTACCCACCCCTAGCCCTGAGGTCACTGTGTTTGTCACAGGCCCATTTTCTTAGTTGAAATCCTGTGGATGGTTAGAGGACAAGATGGACAGTGTAATAGGTACACTGGGGACTGGACTGGGATAGACTGTGTGAGTCATGCAGTAGTTCAGAGACATTCTGGGGGTCTCTCCCTCACCAGATGGCACAGGGCCAGACAAAGCCTCCTAGGCCTGGCCTGCGGCTCTAAGTATGATCAGGTTGGGCTGGAGGCTATGGAAGGTCTCAGAGGAAGTTCAACTTGCCTGTGCTCCAGTGTCCTTTTTACAGGGAATGGCACCATCGAGCACCCAAGTGCCCCAGCCAGTCCTGGCAATGAGTGGCGCCAGCTCCCCTCTCCCCCTACAGGCAGTTAACCACTTCTCCCCACTTTCCCAGGGTTTCTGGGGGCAGAGAAGGGGTGAGGTTGTTCCCAACTGGGCCTTTGCATCCCCCTGTCCTCATGCTGGGGGGCGCTCCACCTCTGCTCTGCTTCTGCAGGGTGCTGGGCTGCGTGCCCTTCATCGCCTTGGCCTACTTCTTCCTCTGGTTCCTGCCCCCATTCAGCAGCCTGCGGGGCCTCTGGTACACCGCCTTCTACTGCCTGTTCCAGGCCCTGGCCACGGTAAGCAGGTGGCCCCTTCCTGGGCCTGGACTCTGGAGAACTCTGTTGCTGGCTGGTGGCCGCTCTGAAGTGTGTGGGGGGGACCCACTGCTCTTACCTGCGTGCGTGCGTGCGTGTGTGTGTGTGGCGGGGATAGGTGTGTGTCGGGGGACCCACTGCTCTCACCTGCCCACCAGTGCCTGGAAATCTACAGTAGCTCAGCTGGCCCTGCTCTGGGCTGGATGCCCCCACTGCCTTTAGCCCCTAGCTCAGGGCTTCAGGTGACCAGTCGGGATGTGTCGGTCTGGCCAGGGTGCCAGGATGGGACAGGACAGCCGTGGCTGTCGTCTGGCGGTCTGGGAGGTGGGGGCCGTCCTAAGCCCTGCCGGGCCTCCCAGTTCCTCCAGGTGCCCTACACGGCGCTCACCATGCTCCTGACCCCCAGCGCGAGGGAGCGCGACTCGGCCACGGCCTACCGTGAGTGCGGGCTTGGGGACACAGGTGGAGGGCACTGCCTCGGGGACCCTGCACCCGGCTTGGCTTGGTCACCTTGCGCATCTTTCTGTCTCCAGGGATGACCATGGAGATGGCGGGGACGCTGATGGGAGCCACAGTCCACGGGCTCATTGTGTCCGGCGCCCACCGGCCCCACAGATGCGAGGAGGCCACGTTCCCCCGGCTGGAGGCCGTCTCCGCCGACGCGGTGAGTGCCCGAGGCGGCCGCGCTGTCCCCCACCCGGGGCCACCTCTCTCCTCTAGGGCAGCTTCTCCCGTCTCTTCGTCATCTTTTGGGGGGGCCACTGCGCCCTCTCATTCCTTCCCTGTTCCTCTAGCTGAGCACATGACCCTCAAATCCCTGACCATCCTCCTCCGCCAAACCTGCCTCTCCTTCTGGGTTCCTTCTAGATATAAAATAAAACAGATTGCAGTTCATTTGGAGGGGAGGAGGCTGTCCCCAGAGGAGGGACAGAGGTGGGGAGGGGCCCCTGGTAGGGGCAGGAAGGAGACTGCCAGGGGCAGGGAGAGGGCAGCAGAAGGATTTGGCGTCCTTGGGAGCTCTGGGCAAGGCCCCTCCCATGAGCTGAACAGGGGGCCCACACCCCAGTGTGAGCCAGTGGGATGCGGAGAGGAAACCTGGGAGCAGCCCCGTTTCTCTCCCCTCAGAGCAGGTCCCTCTTCAGCAATTAGCAGATACACATCTGCTTTAGCCACCAAGTCTGTCTCCAGTTTTCTCCTTTTTCCTTAAGCAAATGACATCTTTATCCTTCAGAACCTGGGAGTCCTCCTTTACCCCTCCCTCTCTCTCTCAATCCTCCAACCTATGACCAAATCGTGTCCATTTTTTAGATCAAAATCTCCTGGCATGTGTTCAATTACTCTGCATGCCACCATCATCCTCTCCCCCACACACCCCCCAATTACTTCATCAGCCTCCTCCCTGGTATCCCTGACTCCAGCCATTTCTCCAGTACAGGCAGGTGACGTTTGGAAGGAGTTTGAGCATGGGTGGCCCTGGCCTTCAGGACTTGGCCCAGGCCACCCTTCCCCTGCTCTGTGTTCTGCACCCTTCTATGTGCCAACAGGCGTGTTTGTTTGTTTCCCTGCTTTTAAATTGATAAATATTTCAGACTTACAAAAAGGTATAAAGCTGTGATTCTCAGTGTGGTTCCCAGACAAGTAGCATCAGCATCGCCTGGGAACTTGTTAGACAGGCAAATTCTGGGGCGCCACCCCAGACCTACTGATTCACAAATTCTGGGGACGGGGCCTAGCAACCTATATTTTACTAAGCCCTCCAGGGGATTCTGAGCCCTGCCAATGTTTCAGAATCAATGGGACATGAATGACACCGCAAACACCCATGGCCCACCACCCACTTAAGAAAACATTACAATGTTGTCCTTGTTATGTAACCCATCCCCTAACTGCTTGCAGGGCCAGCTATATAACTTGCCTATGTAAAGTGCAACATGAAAATGCGGGGCCTCGATGAGAGTGAGGAAGCCAATCTCCCCTTCCCACTGGACCCACCACCCCAACCCAGGGATGCAACCTCCAGCAATGGGACCACTAGGTACCTGGATCGGGATGGGAAGAGGCCCTGCCTAGTGCCCTCTAAAACCACCATAGCACTGCCAGCCTAGGGCCAGAAGGCCACGGGCCTTGCCCCTCCTGGACCAATCCTCCCTGCACCCATGTCTAGGCCCCCACTTAGGCCTGTCCCCGTCCCCTCCCCAGCAGCTACCCAGTCACTGACAGGTCGGGGTGGAGCGGAGGGTGGCAGTGGCCTTGGTTTGGGGAGCAGGAGGCTGAAAACCCACCCCCTGGGGGCGAAGCCTCATCTGAGCTGAGCCTGAAAGCCCTCGGAGGCTCATGCCTAGTTGTCCCATCAAACTTCGCTTACAAAATATAAATTCATAGATAAAATTATCAAGAATGTTAAGACAGCAACAGCAGAACATTAAACCCCAAGCTCAGCGCCCTGCCAAGCTGAGGCCCGGGGCAACAGCACTGAGGGCACCTGTGAAACCCACCCATCTCCCTCTCTTTCCTGCCCTCCCCAGAGGCAACCTCGACCCTGAGTTGGCTGTCACTCGCATGCATGTCTTTACACGCATTTTTATTACATAAACATCTTCCCCTGAATGATGGGTAGTGCTGTCTGTTTTCCGTATTCATCTGGGCCATTTGCATCACGCTGTGCTGGAACTGTCTGCTCATGGATCTGTCTTCCTCCCACACTCTAAGGCCCTGTTGTGATGGACAGGGATCACTTACTCATCATTGTAACCTCAGGGTTTAGCATGGAGAAGTCAGCAGCAATAAACGTTTGCTTAAAAAAACGATGAAATGAGAACGCGCGCATGCGCTCTGAGCCCTGGTGGCATTGATGTCTTCCTTCCCATGCAGGAGGCGCAGGGTCAGCAGAAGGGGATGTGTATGGAAGGACCACTCTTGGCCCTGAGATCTCCTGCTGGGGTGGTCAGGAGGAGGGGGACCCAGCACCCTTGGGTTTGAGCTGAAGGTCCCTCTGCTCCCATTGGGAGGTATTCTTGCCTGACCCTGGGAGTTGCTACCTCCACAGGTTGGAGCCAACATCCCATCCCAGTTCTGTCCTGTCCCACAGATTCGTCTCTACTCCATTGCAGCTGCCGTGGTTGCTGTGACTTATCCTGTGTGCAGTACTTTGCTCTGCCTAGGGGTGAAGGAGCGGCCAGGTACGGGGGTATAAGTGAGGGCATGGGAAGCAGTAGCTGGGGGCAGGGCTCCTCTCGGGGGTGGGTTTTGGTTTTGAACTGTGCCCAGCCAAGGCGTCACCTTCCTGTGTTGCAGACCCCTCTGACCCAGACTCAGGCCAAGGCTTGAGCTTCCTGGCTGGGCTGGGCCTCACTGCCCGGCACCCGCCCTACTTGAAGCTGGTGGTCTCCTTCCTGTTCATCTCAGCGGCTGTTCAGGTACCTCTGGCCACTGATCCCCACTTGCTTGGCTCTGGCCATGCTGACCCTGTGTAGGTTCAGGGTTCAGTCTCTTGGCCCCACTGCACCAGAGTTAGGCTTTTATAGGGAGAGACCTGCAGCTGGCACAGGGCCCAGAGAAGCTGGTGCTGGGAGGAGAGTGACTTGGGTAGGGCTCGTGGGGTGAGTGAGTCAGGGCCTAGGCACTAGGAAGCTGACTGTCTGGGGTGCTTTCCTCTCCTGTTACCGGCAATTTAGTAAATTGATCTTAGCTGTGCAAGTGGTAAGGGTGGACTAGGAATGGTATTTAGATCTGTGTTGGGGATAAGTGTTCTTTGTAGGGGAGAGGACTGCATGATGGCAACAGCAACCCAACTTCAGGGTCCCAAAGGGGAGGACAGACTTGAGACCCTGTCCTTGCTCTTGACTTCTGAGCTTCTGCCATTCCCTGCACATGCCCACTTCCTGTCCACCTCCTCAGGTGGAGCAGAGCTACCTGGTCCTGTTCTGTACGCATGCCTCCCGGCTACATGACCACGTCCAGGGCCTGGTGCTGACCATCCTGGTGAGGGGACCTGGGGTGGTAGAGACCAGGTCACCTGGGGGCCTGAGATGGGGACGTGTGTGGTTCTTGATGTGAAACATTTGTGGCCAGAGTCTGGTGGTCAACATTCTGGACCCTGCTTTGGTCTTAGTCACCTGCATTCCAGCAGAGGGTGGATTTGGGGCCAGAGCCATAAAGGCAGTAGCCACTGGTTCAAACCAGGGGCAAGGTTGAGGTTGGGCATCCCATCTAAAAGCCTGGACTTTGAGATCCTGGGTAGAGCTGCTGGCTGCACACCCCTGGTGTGATGATGTTGTCTGCCCACAGGTCTCAGCTGTGCTAAGCACCCCGCTGTGGGAGTGCATTCTCCAGAGATTTGGGAAGAGGACGTCAGCCTTTGGGATCTGTGTGAGTGAGGCAGGAAGCAAGATCTGGGAGTATGGAAAGGGCAAGGGATATGACCATGGAGTCTGAGCCTCCTGGGGTCAGCAGGGAGAGATCTGTGTTCCCTGTATCTTTGGGGCCTATCAAAAGTGTGGGGGACAACTGAATGAAAAAGCAAGCCCAGGGGAGCAGGTGGAGGGGCCAGCGAGTGTGTTTGTCTCCCCAGGTGATGGTGCCTTTTGCGATCTTGCTGGCTGCTGTGCCCACGGCCCCTGTGGCTTATGTCGTGGCCTTTGTTTCTGGTGTGAGCACTGCTGTGTCCTTGCTGCTGCCCTGGTAGGCAGGGTGAGGGGAAAGGGGTATGGGAGCCTCCTGTGCTTCCAATTGGCTATCTCCTACTTCACAGCAACTTGCTGTCCCAGGCCCCCCCGTGCCTAGCCTGTGCAGGAGATGAAGGCCTCCTACAAGGGCACCGGACAGCAGGAATGGTGGGGGGCCTCCTGTGCTTCCAATTGGCTATCTCCTACTTCACAGCAACTTGCTGTCCCAGGCCCCCCCCCGTGCCTAGCCTGTGCAGGAGATGAAGGCCTCCTACAAGGGCACCGGACAGCAGGAATGGTGGGGGTCGGGGGGAATGCCAGCACATACATTGCCTGGCTCTCTGTGGGCCAGTCCTGGTCCTTGGCAGTAGGAACCCAGGGATAATCTGACTTGCTCTCTGTCCTCAGAGAGCTCACAGGCTGCTGGCTGTTAAGTGGATAAAAGGATAACTCCATGCCCCCCCACCCCAGGTCCATGCTGCCAGACTTGGTGGATGACTTCCAGCGGCAGCACCAGCTCGGCCCAGGCCTGGAGACCATCTTCTACTCATCCTACGTCTTCTTCACCAAGCTTGCAGGCGCAGGCGCCCTGGGCATCTCCACCCTCAGTCTGGAGTAAGCCCCAGGGGGGTGTACCAGAGCACAAAAGACCAGTGGGGTGGGAAGAGGAGGGCATAGCCTCCCACTGTACCCAGCCAGGAGCCACCCATGAGCCTGGGGCCCAAGCTGTGCTCTGTGGAGTGTGTGGGGAACCACTTATCCCAAGTTTCTCTGTGCACATGACTGAGAGGAGCCATTCTTGGGCACTGCACCCCTTCTGAAGCCCCAGCTCCCCACATTCTCAGTTCTCTCTGAACTCCGCCCTGATCAGCCCATCCTCCTGATGCTCCCTTCCTCCATAAATAGGCTGATCTGGCCAGAAAATGAAGTCCAAGTTTCAGGAGAGTGTGGGGGCAGGGTGTCTGGCAGGCCCTGACCTGGACAGACGGTGGTGTTTTTGCAGGTTTGCAGGGTACAAGGCTGGAGGCTGCCAGCAGGTAGAGGAGGTGGTGGTTACCCTCAAGGTGCTCATCGGTGCTGTGCCCACCTGCATGATCCTTACTGGTCTGTGCATCCTCATGGTTGGCCCAAAGGTGCCAAGCCAGGACACCTCCTGCCAGCTGAGCCTTCAGAGGTGGGCACCCCCTGTACAGGGGACAAGCAGGCAGGGCTACCGACACCCGGGAGGCACAGGGACGTACACTGGCACGTGAATGACTGGCACCAGCCTGCAGGTCTCCCTGCTGTGTCACTCAGCTCAACAGTCCTGCCTCAGCTTCACTGACACTATATTCTCCTGGATTTTCTTCTACTACTCTGGCCACCCTTCTCATTCTTCTTCCTTTGATTACCTCGTGGATGGTGACATATGAGGGCTCCCACAGTGACCCCTGTTCATTTTGCTCTTCATAGCCCCTCGGGTACCTTATCTACTTGCTTGCCCTCAGGTACCTCTTATGCCTGGTGACTCCTAAAGCTGCCCCTCCATGCTGGACTTCCTTCAAGTTCCAGATGCACAGGTCTCGCTTTCATTTAGGCATCTCTACCTGAGCTCCCACAAGCATGTCAGTCAGTCTCATCAAGCCCCAAACTGAACTCATCTTCTTCCCGCAATCGACCCTCCTTCTGTGTCCCTGTCACAGCGAATGGCACCATCGTCCACCCTGAAGCCGAAACCTGAGAGTCTTCCACTCTTCCCTCCCACAGGCTGTGCTGAGTAGCTCTCTGTCCTTCCCCCTACAAGAGCACCGGTCCCACTGCATGGGGAGGATCAGCTTGCTGCCTGGCTTTCCTAGTAGTCTGTGGGGACCATGAAGGCTGGGGCTGTGTTTTATTCATTTTTGCATCCCAAGAGCCCGGCACAGAGCCTGAGACCAAGTAGGCAGAGAGTACATGTGGCAGTATTGACAAGCCTGGCCCAGCAGACATTCACAACCATGCAGATGTTCATGCACTTACAAAGACATGGTGACATGCACACACATAGGACCACCCAGGACAGACAGTAGGTGGCATCATCATCAGCCCCTCACTTCTCAGTGGTGGTGGCTCCACACACTGCAGCAGAGTAATACTGAGGTCATGCTTTACACTTCAGGGAGTGACAAGCGGATGGGGAACTGCTGGATGGGACTTGGAGAAGCAGGGTTGTAGCTTTAGTAAACGGGGCTGTGAAGGGGAGGGGTTGCTGGTTAGACAAGAGCCACTGAAACTTCCATGGCACACTGCGCAGAACAGAGACCCCCCCCCCCCATCCTTCTCCTTGGCTGCTTCGTTTCCCTACAGGAGGACCAGCTACAGCCTTGCTTAAAGTCTGAGATGACTTCTGTGAGCCGGAATGGCAGGAGCCAGTGTCTTCTGGGCCTGAAGTCTCTTTCTCCTCAGCCCTTCAGCACCCCTACCATGCAGTTTAGCACACGACCTTTTCCCCTGGGATGTAAAGTCTTCAGTGACATCTCCTTAAGGGCCTGGCCTGGGCTCCAGGACTCCTAGCTGACATTTCTGGCCTATTGACCGCAGACCATCTCAGACAGGCCTGTGCCCCTGACTACCCCAGCTCTAGGCCTCCTTTGACCTGGAAAGCATCCCACTAGCAACTATTTCAGGGAGAAGGAAGCCCTTATGCAGCCTGGCCAGTAGACTTCCTGTGAGAGCACCAGGCCCAGCCACCTGCTTAGACGGGAATGCTCCCCTGACAAATGCAGACCTCTTGTTTGTGCTGACGCTCCAGTGGACAACTGCTGAAGACAGAGTTGGCTGAGAGACACCACCTGAATGCGCAGCATGGGGACAGATGGACATGCTGCAGATAACAATCAGAGAGACACAGACAAGATCCAGTGAGAATGACATACCCTGGAGAGAATGGGGACAGCCGTGCAGATGAGGAGACTGAGTAGGGCCGGGCGCTGGAGGCGCTTCTCAAGCCCTTCTCTCTGTTCGTAGGAATTGGTGACACGTTTCCATCTGTGGACAGAGACTGCTATCGAGCCACCAAAGGTCAATCATTTTATAAACAAAAGCTATTTGTGTGGAAATACTTCTCTGAAATTTTATCTTATAAAAGCACAAGAACTACAATTTCTTTTTTTTTTTTCCTTTATGTCTTTTTTCGTGTCTGGCAACGGATCGCAACCCTCAGTGTCGCGCCCGTACCGGACCAGGACCAGCAACAGGATCGCAACCCTCGGTGTTGCGCCTGCACCTCGCTCAGCCAGTGAGCGGGAACCGGTCTGTATGTGGGATCCGAACCCTCGGCGGGAGCGCCGCCGTGCTCCCAAGCGGTGCATTGTAGCAGTGCGCCACTGGGCCGGCACAAGAACTACAATTTCTAGAGGCCATGTCTTTGGGGGAAGAAAGATCCACTGAGGTTTATTTTTTCAAAAACAAAGGAGAAGGGGCCAGCCCGGTGGCGCACTGGATAGTGCGCCGCTTGGGAAGCGCAGCGGCGCTCCCGCCCGAGGGTTCGGATCCCACATACAGACCGGTTCCCGCTCACTGGCTGAGCGAGGCGCGGGAGAAACACCAAGGGTTGCAATCCCGTTGCCGGTCCCGGTCCAGTACGGGGGCAACACTAAGGGTTGCGATCCGTTGCCGGGCACGGAAAAAAAGACAAAAAAAAAAAAAAAAATAGTTCTGAGGGCCGGCCCGGTGGCGCACTGCGCTAGTGCGCCGCTTGGGAAGCGCGGCGGCGCTCCTGCCCGAGGGTTCGGATCCCACATACAGACCGGTTCCCGCTCACTGGCTGAGCGAGGCGCGGGAGAAACACCAAGGGTTGCAATCCCGTTGCCGGTCCCGGTCCGGTACGGGGGCAACACTAAGGGTTGCGATCCGTTGCCGGACACGGAAAAAAAGACAAAAAAAAAAAAAAAAAACAAAGGAGAAGGTTTATCTTCTATTGAGTCTATAAAATATGACTGTGGACAGCCCTCTCATCCACGTCCTGGAATCCCTCCCACAAGGGAAGGGGAAGGGTGCCCAGTGTCACTGAACCTAGCCATGTCCCCCAGCCATACATCCCTGATTTGCATTTCCTCAGACCAAGGACACCACGTGGGAGGTGGGGTCCTTTCCTTCAGAAGAAACACAAAGTTGAGATTCTAGAGTGACCTAAGGCAGCAGGCCACCATGGCTCATGTGGGTTGGGGCTTGTGGGGGGTGGGGGGGTTGAGGAACCCATGGGGGCCCCGATGCCCCAGCTACTCCTGCCTGGAGAAGTCCAGGCACCTAAATGGGGGACCAGAAGTGCAGACTTGCCATCCACAGTTAGCCCCAGCCCCCAAGCTTTGTCCCCTCCATGGGTCAGCTGTCCTGAGCCCACGGCCCATTTCCTCTTTAGATCTTCAGCTGCCTCTTAGTTCTGAGACCCTTGAGGCCCAGAGCTCAGACACACAGACATGAAGTGCTCCTCAGAGCTTACGGCATCTTGTTTCCTCCACAAACACTGCAGCAGAAGGAGGAATCTGACCTCACAGTGTGTGTGTGGAGTCTGACCTGGTCTGTCCAATGCCTTAACTCTGGCCCTTGTGACACTGACATGAGTAGCTTGGGTCCTTGAGGTCAAGGAGCAACAGAGAAAGAGCTGGGCTCGGTTTCTCTGTATTGTGCGGGCCGGCCCCAGGAGAGTATAGTTTCTTAACGCTGGGATGTCACTGGCCATGTGGAAACAGTACCTGGTGAGACAGGAGGCAAGGTAACATTTCTATCATGTTCCAGTTATGTCATGCTTTGGAAACCTGGGCAATGCGGGTAGGTCAGAAGCTTGTGCCAAATTTTATGTTATCTATATTTCCTGGGAGTGTAGATGCAGCAAGAAGAGCTATACAGTACAGAGACAGCTGCAGGAGGTCCACCTCCAGGGGTCAAGGGTTTGATCTCAGAGAAAAGGGGCTGTGATGAGCTGAACAGATACCCCAAAAGGTGTTACTTCCTCAAAGCAGCCCTATGAAGTGGGTATTATTATTCTCATGGCCAGATGAGGAAGCAGGCTGACAGAGATTAGGCAACTCGCCCAAGGTCAGCTGGTAGTGGAAACAGATCTTGAACCCAAGACAGGCTGACTCCAAAGCTTGTAGAGATAGCCAGTGCTTAAAAAATGTGTTGGTGGAATGGCCGTCCTCCAGACATTGGTATCACCACGACTACCCCCGACTGTATGGTGATTCCACTTTATTTTCCCGCTCTCCCACCTCCGGCTCACACATGCCCACTGAGCCTCCCACCATCACATCCCTCTTCTGGCGTTCACCCTCACAGCCGGTCTGCCTGTTTCACAGGAAGAGGAATCTCTCCTTGCCACCAAGGACAACCCCTGGGCCTATTGCTGGCAGAGAAGACATCCCCCTTTGCCCCTTCTCCATACACTACCTTAATCTCCACTTAAATCCAAATTGTGTCACTCACTTGGCTCAATACCCTCAGTCCCAGCTGGCATCCCATCAACTTAGTCACTACAATGGCCTCAAGGTGTCACAAGATCAGGTCTCAGTTCAAATGTCACTTCCTCAGAGAGCCCTTTCCTGTTCCCAGCTCACCCACCACAGCCCTTCCTCCACCCCAGTGCTCTCGGAGCTCCCCCCTGCTTTGCTTGTACTTAGTAGTATCTACCTCCACGTACAATTATGTATTTACCAGTGGTTTACTTGTTTATTGCTCAACACCCCCACTAAAATATAATCTTTATAAGGGCAGGGGCTTTAACTAATTTATTGCTACATGCTCAGTGCCCAGATGTTGTGTTCAATATGAGTATTTGCTGAATGAATGAGTGAATGTTCACATCACCCTCATCCCCAAACAGTCTTTTCTTGTTCCCCTAGGTTTCTCCTCTCCGAGTCATCTGCTTCACTGTCCTCCCTCCACCCCCGCCATTCTTGTCTTCTCTTCCTCACCTGCAGTTCACTCCTTAACCCATTAAACCTGGCCTTGGCCTCCACCTCTGAGAAGACAGTGCAGCCTGAAAGGATGGACTCCAGCATCAGAAAAAGGGAAATAGGAGTTTGTAGGTCGCTTCTATCTTTTACCACATGTGATTGGTTGTCTTATTTAACAAGTCTGAACCTCCGTTTCTTTTCTGAACAAATGTGCACACTATTACATACACTTCAGGATGGCTATGAAGATTAAATGAGATAATACCTGACCAAGTACCAGACCAAAAAAACCCTCGATGACTGGTCAATTAACGCAGACCACTCCTTTTCATTCTTTTTCTTTTGGCAGCTGGCTGGTAAGGGGATCCTAACTCTTGACCTTGGTGTCATAACACCATGCCCTAACCAACTGAGCTAACCAGCCAGCTCTGACCATTCATTTTCTGTCTTTTCATTTGCTTCTTTCTCCTTTGATGCTCCTTAATCACCTGAGGCTTCCCAGGGCGGTGTGATTTCATTCACATCTCCACCTATACACTGCTATTGACTCTGCCTCTAACACTGAGCTCTGCTGAGCTTCAGATCCCCAGATCCAACTGCCTAAGTGTGATTCAGGCAGTTAAAACAGCACACATCTAAAATGTGACTCATCACCTCTCCACACTTGTTTTGCTTCCTGCATGTCTGGTAAATTACATCAGCATCTATCCAGTCTCCCAAAACCAAAAACTTGGTGTCTTTTAAGATTCTTTTCTCCCACATTCACTCCATTGCCCCCTCTCCAATACACTGAGTGGATTGTGCAATGGAAAAGTGTGGCTTGCACAACGGAAAGCAAGAGTTGTAGCTTGTGATTATCAACTGGTGGAAGTTATTTGAATCTGGAAAGTTGCTAACACCAGGTATGGATGGACATGGCTCATAACGCATGGTGTACTGTCACAGCTGCCTGCTAGATGTGTGAGACGTGTATGTGTGTGCATTTGTGTATTCCTATAGGACGCACTTCAACTGGGTAGTTTCCTGTGTTCACCTGGTGTCTTCATGTTTTTTTTTTTTTTCAGTCAACCTCATCTGACAGGAAACCTACTGTTTCGTAAGGACAAAACTGGTATATAAACAATAGAAAATTCACATTATGCTCTGTCAAAGAACAAAATTACAACAAATATAGTTAAAGATCTCAATTGGCTTTATTGTGATTCCAATTTTTGTTTTTGGTGGCTGGCCAGTACAGGGATCAAACCCTGGACCTTGGCGTTATCAGCTCCATGCTTTAACCAACTGATTTATTAACCTGCCCAATTCTAGATACAGAATAGAATAAAAAAGTGTTCCAATAAGTCTAGCAGAGGAAGTTGATTTTATAGACAGAAAAAGTCTGAAGAAAGCAGAAACAAAAAACAAAAAGCAGATTGGTGATTACAAAGCTACTCTCCTTGTAATGTGGGACAGGAAGACAAAACCATAGAAATAATGTAACTGACTAGTTAACATCAGATTTTTTCAGGCTATCTCTTTTGTGTAAGAATTAAAGCAGAGGAAACTTCATTATCATACTTATTGCAGATTAAAATTGGCCCGTTTGGGAAATTGGCTGTTATTTCTTTCTCTTGACTTCTCAGAAGGTCACACCATAACCTAAGAGACATGGAACTTAGCAGGAGTGACTCCATTTTGATTTTTAGTCTGGTCTGCTGGGCCCTAGTGCAGGAAGGTAGTCCAAAACAATGTCCTCCAATCACTTTTATTTAACAGCTCTAATCATTCCCTAATATAGCAATTAACGCTGGAACAAATATGGATTTTCAAAACATGCATTATAACAGAACTGAGTATATATGTGTGACTGTATAAATATATAAAAATCCTAAATGGTCCCTGTGATGTAATAAGAAATATGTATTTGGTCTCTGCCCCAGTTCCTGGTACAGAGCTTCTAAGACCCTTGTAACTTCCTGAATGATAAGAGAGAGGAGCATCTTTTATTATTCATAAGCCCCTTTCCAACATATGAGTTCATGCTAATGAGGTGACTCTCGGAGGATGTGGGCTGGCTGCCAGAGGAACCATCCAGGTGATTAAGAGGTTAGAACTTTCAGCCCACTCCCCTACCTCTGGTGAGCAAAGAAGAACTGGAGATTGAGTTAATCAACAGTGGCCAATGATTTGATCAATCATGACTATGTAATGGAGCCTCCATTAAAACTCCAGACAAATTGGACCTATATACCTCTTCATCTGGTTGTTCATTTTTTTTTTTTCTGGCAGCTGGACAATATGAGGATCCAAACCCTTGACCTTGGTGTTATCAGCACTATGCTTTCCCAAGTGAGCTCACCAACCAGCCACCAAACATCATTCTTAATGGCGAAACAGTCCCTCTAAAATCAGGAATAAGGCAAGGATGCCCTCTGTCACTGCTTCTATTCAACACTTCATCAGGGGATCTAGCCAGTGCAATAAGATAATGGTATAAGAATTAGAAAGAAACAAAATTGTCATTATTTATAAAATGACATGATTGCCTACACAGAAAACTAAAAAGAATCTACAGATAAATTATTAGAACTAATAAGAGTATATTTAAGCAAGGTAGTTGGATATAAGATTAACAAAAATTGGATTTTTTTACAGCAGCAAGTTATAAAACACAATTTAAAAAATATATTATTAACTGTAGCAACCAAAAATATAAAGTGCCTAGGAATAAATCAAAAAAGGTATTGAAAGACTCCTGCTTCTGGCCAGGATAGATTAACAGAGACCAGATCTAGCCTCCTGCCTGAAACAACAAAAAAATGGACAAAATATAAGAAACCAGTTTTCAAGACAACAGGCATCAGGTGACAAAGGAGTCATAAAAAATGAGATGAGGGGGCCGGCCCGGTGGCGCACTGGATAAGTGCGCCGCTTGGGAAGCGCAGCGGCGCTCCCGCCTGAGGGTTCGGATCCCACATACAGACCGGTTCCCGCTCACTGGCTGAGCGAGGCGTGGGGGCAACACCGAGGGTTGCAATCCCGTTGCCGGTCCCCGGTCCGGTACGGGGGCGACACTGAGGGTTGCGATCCGTTGCCGGACACGGAAAAAGACAAAAGACAAAAAAAAAAAAAAATGAGATGAGGCTTTATGCCTGCCTTAGCTTACTGCCTTGAGTTTCCAGACCACAGTGCAGGGAACCATTTGGAGCCCACATATGTGGTGGTGAAACTCCTTTTTATAAACAAAGAAAGGAATGAATAAATGATAAAAACAACACGGGAGCAACACCGAGGGTTGCAATCCCGTTGCCGGTCCCCGGTCCGGTACGGGGGCGACACTGAGGGTTGCGATCCGTTGCCGGACACGGAAAAAGACAAAAGACAAAAAAAAAAAAAAATGAGATGAGGCTTTATGCCTGCCTTAGCTTACTGCCTTGAGTTTCCAGACCACAGTGCAGGGAACCATTTGGAGCCCACATATGTGGTGGTGAAACTCCTTTTTATAAACAAAGAAAGGAATGAATAAATGATAAAAACAACAATTAAGACATTAAGTTATCTCTGAGATGGAGCTATGGAGACAGGGTCAAGGAAGAACATACAGGGAGTTTGAATGATGTCTACTGATGTTCTGGTTCTTAGGTGGCGGGTGGTTCATTTTTAAGCCTTCCTCTACTTTATATATATATTGCATGTATCAAATAATACCCATTCAAATTTCAGAAAAACATGAGTGCAAAATGGACTTTATAATTATCTTTGTTTATGCAAAATATTTTCAATATAACATTAAACAAAAATTTAAAGAATTTAGTTCTCCTTTCCCTGTCTCCAAACCTAGCAAGTACTGAATTATTTTCTATTGTTCCAATGACTATAATAATAGCAGAGGCCAAGGAAACATCTTTTATATGAGAATTGTCATGGAATCAGATTTGTTGTGAAGCAACAATTTATATTCTGGACTGTCCACCAAAAGAAGAAATACAAAGACAACAGATACATATATATAATCAAGGACATTTCTCTATACCAGCAATAATCACAAAGAAAATACCACCAAAACATTAAAACAGCAACAATAGCCATTAGTAATTTTACTGAAGACTCACTCACAGAATTTTGACCTGAGAAATGGTGTTTATAACATACACATTGAGGCACCCACACTAATCTTACTTGAGGGTCTCCTAGTCCCCCCTTTAGGTTTCACAACAGTTGTGACTTCATTGTACCCCAGATATTTCCTTGGCAAATGGAGCCAGGCCTCCACCTGTCCTGAGCCACCACTCTCAGGCAGCTGATTACAGACAAGCAGCCGCAACTTCCATTATCCCAGCAGCTGTCTAATGCATTTGAACCACAAAATGGACCCTTACTTCTTTCCTAGTCCAGCTCTTTCTCCATAAACTGCAATAGACAGACAGGAGTCTCCAAGGGCACAAAATATTTTTTTTCCAGATAATTTTAAAGGAAAGAGGGAAAAAAAGTGTATGTGCTAATGGACCTTCTATGGCTGAAACAATTTATCTGCAGATATGCTCTGTCTAGCCACACACTGATCAATTTGTTATGCTGCAATAACTGAAATTGGTGATTCTGTCTAAAGGCAGTGAGAAATGGTGTGTCCATCTGAAGGGAATCAGGGTTCTTTCCACTATACTAAATTGGCACTGGCACTTTAGCCCATAAGTATAATAATCTGTACTTTTAAATTCCTCAGATTCAGTGAAATTTCCAACTTCCTGAAATACTTATTTTCACAGATTTTATGCTGGTCTCTAAAATTTGAAAGGATGGAAAAGAAAAATAACAAAATTAAAGTGACAAGTTAACTACGAGAGCTGATGACTGGGAGAAAAACAGGAAATTTTTCTGATCCCCAAACTAAAAAGAAAATAAAACCATCTCACAGAGAAAATTATGAGTGGCAATAGCACAAAATCATGCCTTAGGCCTTGTCTGTACTTGCCACTGTACTAGTAGCATCAGCACAAGCTCAAGTGGAATCCAGAGGGGTCACATCACTTGAAATTTCATTCAAAATATGCACAGAGCCACTTTTTAGGAGCATCTGAACCTTTGTCAGCCAGAATTTTTTAAGAAAGCGAGAATTGGGTTTAAATCCTGGGAGCGTCAGCCAACATCAGAAGTACTTTCTGTTCCAGGTAGCCCTGGGAGCAGAAGTCAGTGGGTTTTTGGTCTTCCTTTAAGCTTGGCTGATTCCTGCCGGTTTGAGGTTTAAAAGGATATGCTGGAGCATATGCTTTCCAGCAGCACTCCTCACCCTCATCTTTAAGTCAAGAAAAAGACCCATAACAATGCTGAGGTATCTTTTAAGTGCTCCTAAGGCTGCTATAATGCAGCTTTGGGCATGGCCTCAGAAAGGCCATAAAACACAAGCCATATGGCACCAAATACTGTTTTGTTCTGGGAATTCTGCCCTTAGACAAAACCACACAGTCATGAATATATAAACAACCACTTTCTGAGCCATCTAACAAAGACTGAGCTCTGCTACAGAGCACTGAGCCACAGCCCAGGGGGAAAGTGGGAAAAGAGGCAAGGCCAACCATGGCAAGTGCTTCCCCTGAGTGACAAGGCGGATCTCACCGGTGAGAGTCCACAGTGGAGGAAAGAGACTATTTGTAATGGTCTTATCTGAAAAGCTACACAGCAAATACCCTGCAGATACCAAACAATACTGCTTAAATAGTTAGAATAGCCAGTGGTATCTAAACTTTGGGCAGTACGGTCTCTAAAGATTTCAAGGAACAGGATCCAGACTGCAAAAAGGGGAGTCTCTGAAGACATCTGACCTGGACAAGATGCCATCTCTTATGATTATTTCCTGTGTGGCTGTGAAAATTAATGGGATGAAGCCCTCGCTGTCAGCAGACAGAAGAATCCAGTGGGAGTCTGCAAAGTAAAATAAACACATGGGCAATTTATGATTTCTTATCTTGTTCTGTAAAGAAAAATATGCTATAAATGTTTTTTTTAAGTACAGAAATAAGTAGTTGATGATATTTAATGTGATCCTCATAAGATTTTACAGAGAATAGGGATATGGAAGAACTGAGCATTATTTACGGTCAGGTTATATGGCAGGAAGAGGATGTTGATGACTCATACCCACCCAAAGTTGGTCACTTAGGCACAGCTAGAGACATACATCTTCACCCAGGCTAGGCACTTATCATTCAGTGCTATGCATCTGAGCTTTTGTGAGCACACATGTGCACGTGTTAGGGGTTGTGTGTGAAAGGACGCTACCTTATCTACATGCTGTTCACCAGTTTCTCCAGAAACCATGTGAAGTTGAGAACAGTCTATGGAGAAACATTCTTTATTGTATACATCTATACCAACCTCTACACACCTAAGGACGCTGAGCTGACCACAGCTAGACTAGAATGGCCCAGATAATCCTGAATGATTTGTTCCAAGGTAACCTAGGGGCCACTAGCACAACACATGCTTGGACCTTCTCTGTTTCTTTCAAGTCTAATGTGTCTCACCTTTTGATCCTGTGATTTCCCTTCTGAAAATCTACACTCCCAAAAATAACACATAAAATATGCAGAGGTTTTTTTTTAGTGTTATTTATAATGAAGAAAAATTGGAAACAAGCTAAATGTCAAAGAAAATATAACAAAGTGAAATACGGTACACCTCAGAATGGAATATTAGCCCCACCCATTAAAAATGAGCAAGTATGAAGCCATAAATGCATGTGTCAAAATAGAAAAATACTAATGATGCAATATTAAGGGGAAAAACAATGAAACAATATATTATGTTCAATGTGGTGGCTACAGTTATAAGACTAAGGTCTAAGAAAACGACCATGCTCTACATCTGACAACTCAGTCCCTTACCATCCTTCACATCCCCATGTTTGCTCATTAGAACGACAACTCCTTTAAGAAATATTCTGCAGGGAACACTTACTCCATTACACAGAATGAAGAGTTGCCTGATTCTAGAATTGCAATAAAGCCAATTGAGCAATTGAGATCTTTAAACTTAAAAATAAAAACCGAAAAAACATTCTGCAATGGTGCTATCTTTATGTTTTAGTGCTATAGGCACATATGAGGTTATGTTATTTCCCTGCAGTTGTTATATACTGCTTTATAACTCTTTTTTAGTTTTTTAATGTGTACATTTAATTTTTCCAGCTAGGCTGCAAGTTCCCTAAGGGCAGAACCCATCTTTCATGTGTTTTGGTACCTATAATAGGCCTGGGTATACAGTAGGCAATTAATAATACTTGTTAACCATCTAGTGAACCACTGAATTGTTGTTACACCTCATTTTCATTACTAGTGGAAGTTACAAAATAGATGGTGGAAGGAGGGAGTGTTGTGTAGAGTCAATTTCTGAATTTAACCTACCATGCAGCATTTCAATGAGAGAGAGGCCAAAAGTCTGCTGAACTGTACTGAGCTTTAGTTTGCCATCGCAGAGAAGCATTGCTCTTTTTTCAGCAACAGGACCTGCATAAGAAGGTTTCTTTGAATAAAAAATAAAAGTTGTTAAACTGATTGCAGAAGCAATGGAGTTAACATTTCTTCTTTTTTTGGCAGTTGGCCAGTACGGGGATCCGAACCCTTGTCCTTGGTGTTATAACACCATGATCTAACCAACTGAGCTAACCCATCAGCCTTTTTCTTAAGAATAGAATGTGTAAATAGTTTCTGAAAATCCTTATAACCACTATCAACTAAATTTTAGTTTTAAACGAGCTCTTTACTGAATTATTTAACACAACTAAAGGATCAGAACAAAACACAACCGCTAATTTACTGCTCCTTTTGCTCTACTCTTTCCCCACAGTTACCTCATTATCAATAGGAACTGGCTTTCCTGGGATATGACTAAACAGCACCATAGGAGGATGGATAGCAGCCTGAGCAACACAATTTGATGGTGAGGAACAACTGCTTGGCTCCTTTAGATATAACTAGGAAACTTCATGCTTTTTTTTTAGCAGCTGGCTGGTACAGGGACCAAAACCTGGATTTTGATGTTAGCAGCACCACACTCTAACCAATCGAGCAAGATGGCCAGCCCCTCACCTCACGCTTTCTTTATTGGGGAAAAAATGTCAAGAAAGACTGCCCTAAGTAGTGGAGTAGCAGAGGATTTACATAAGTAAAATAAACAAACTATGTTCAAAACAGAAAAAGTTCAAATGAAAATAAATGATTTAAAAAAAATGGGGGGGACAGCTGGCCAGTAAGGGGATCTGAATCCTTTACCTTGGTGTTATCCTAGTGAAATTTTAAGAAGTTATTAATAATTAAGTCATCTTTAGAAATGGTTTCTTTTTTTTTTCCTTTTTGTCTTTTTTACTGACTGGCAACGGGATCGCAACCCTTGGTGTTGCGCCCGCACTGCGCTCAGCCAGTGAGCGGCCAGTCTGTATGTGGGATCCGAACCCTCGGCGGGAGCGCCGCTGCACTCCCAAGCGGCACTCTCCAGTGCGCCACCGGGCCGGCCCAGAAATGGTTTCAAATAAGGGCCAGCCCATGGCTCGCTCGGAAGAGTGCGGTGCTGAGCACACCAAGGCCATGGGTTTGGATCCTATATAGGGATGGCCGGTTCGCTCACTGGCTGAGTGTGGTACTGACAACACCAAGCCAAGGGTTAAGATCCCCTTACTGGTCATCTTTACAAAAAAAAAAAAAAGGAAATGGTTTCAAATATACCTAGAGAAAGAAAATATAAAAATTTTTAGTTCTAATTTAAGACACATTGAGAGCAAAGAAAAAAAAAAAAGACACATTAAGAGCCCAAAGGTATACCATAGATAACACCAAGGTCCAGGGTATGATCCTGTTACCAGACAGCCACCGAAAAAAAAAAGGAAAGATAAAATACTGTAAGAAAATCAAGACATTACATGTACAATAATTTCTGTAATATACAAAAGGGCTGGCCGGTTAGCTGAGTTGTTTAGAGCATGGTGCTGATAACACCAAGGTTCAGGGTTTGATTCCTATACTGGCTGGCTGCCAAAAAAAGAAAGAAATCTGTAATATACAAAAGCCTTTTATAAACTTATAACCCAATAGGAAAAAATGAGTAGTAGGCAATTCACATTGAATTAGCCAAAAAACATACTCAAATTCACCAATAATAAAGAAAATACAAATTAATAAAGATGAAATAACACTTCACACTGATCATATTGGTGAGGAAAAGGAAAGTTCATATGTTGCTGGTAGACATGTGATGATGCTTTATTAAATAAAAAATCTTTAGGGGCCAGCCCGTGGCTCACTCGGGAGAGTGAGGTGCTGATAACACCAAGGCCCCGGGTTCGGATCCCATATAGGCATGGCCGGTTTGCTCTCTGGCTGAGCGTGGTGCTGACAACACCAAGTCAAGGGTAAAGATCCCCTTACCAGTCATCTTTTAAAAAAAAAAAAATCTTTGAAAGGCAATCTCGCAACTCTATTAAAAGTAGAAACACAGATACTCTTCCAATTTACGCTTCCAGTTCTGTGAACTAATCAAAGAGAAATAAAGGTACTACTAATAATAGATACATATAAGAATACTATTGCAGCACTATTTGGAGTGGCCAACAACTGAAAACAAAGTGAATGTCAGTCACAAGGGAATGACTGAATAAGCAGCATACTCTCAGCATGAAGTAAAGAGTGTACCATATGACCTCATTGCTGTAAAACAATGACAAACCACCCCACACATATCTATACATCTATGTACGAGGGGTCTTCAAAAAGTTCATGGAGGGGCCGGCCCGGTGGCGCACT